CTCCTTCTCCTTCTCCTTCTCCTTCTCCTTCTCCTTCTCCTTCTCCTCCTCCTCCTCACCTCCTCGTTGTCCCCCTTCTCCTATCCTCCTAGTAGACCAAAACTGACTAGTCCCAGGCACCATTGACCCCTCCCGGCACTCCCGTCGTCAACTCTCTGGCCAAACAACGCGCTGCTCTCACCAACATCTTCCGAGCATGTATCGGTCTCCAGCCCGAGTCCGACATGACCCTCGAGCATAAGTTGTTCTAGGTCTAGACAGGCAGAGGCAGAGATTGAAGCAGAGGCGAAAGCCGAAAGTCGAGGTAGAGGTAGACAGACGCGCGTCCATTCGGCCAGAAGTAGAAGAAGAAGAATCAGAATCGGAATCAGCAGGACTGGGGACCCTCTCGGAATTTGTATGATTGTGACTGAGAGTGCAGAGTGCAATTGCGACGGGTGGCTAGACTGCTTTCTCTTGACTATTCTTGTCTTGTCTTGCATTGCGAATGGCGAGGGGGAGGGAGAGGATCAGGGGAAAGGTCAGGGAGAGGTTGTGGCCCCTTGTCCGGAATGTTTTTGTTGTTTTTGTTTTTGACCAACTCACGTCACTCTTTGATCCAGCTATGCTATAGCTTGCTATAGCTACCTATACACATAGTCTCGGCAATGTCGATAGATTGCTTTGCCTGGTTTCCTACTCTCTACTCTACTCTCTGTGCTCTCTGTGCTCTCTGCTCTCTACTCGTACTGAACTGATTTCCAACACTGGATTTTGATCTTGATTGATTTGAACCAGGCCCAGGTCCAGGTCCAGGCCCGGGCCCAGGTCTTCTTGTTTCTTTACCAGAACAGGTTTCGACCTAGGGCCTATGCAGAACCTATACCTAGACTTAGATCAGAACCCACATCTAGCAAGAGCATACAACACCCCCACACCCGCTCTGACCCCGTCCACGATAGAGACCGCATTGCCGGCCTCGACGCCCAGTTCCTCAATACACGCGGTGCGCACTGCCGACTCGAGACCGACCATGCCTGCACAGCCGAGACAGATGGCTTTGACTCTGGAAGAGTAATTATAAGTTGTCGAGGGAGACGAGGTCAAATCTGTGTTTGTGGCGATGCCCCCCCTCCCCACTGTCTCTGTCTCTGTGGTGGTCGTGATCGCCCCCCTCCTCAACAACCGTTTCGTCGCTTCCATCATCTTCCTTCCCACCTGTTCGGCAGGGAGGGCGTGCAACTCTGTGGCGTTCAGTCCTGTGGTTTCGCAGCCGTAGAATCGTTCAAGTTTTTTCTTGTTGTCGTTGGCGTTGGCTTTGGCGTTGGAATCAGGAATGCCCAGAAACTCTTGCACCGCGACCTGTAGCGCTGATTCCCAGATTTTGCCTGTGCTGACGATACCGAAGCCGTTGTTGTTGTTGTTGCTGTAGTTGCTACCACCACCACTACCATTACCAGTACTACCCCCACCACTACTACTACCCACAAGATTCACACTGACTAAACAACTCGCCTCCAGAATCCCCGTCACGTATTTCCTGGTCGCCGTGGTTGTGGTCGTGGCTCTACCTCTGATTCTCTCACACTCGGCCTTCAAGAGCCCCACGAGCGGATGGGCACTGTAGCACGCCACCAGAAAGGCATCGTGGTGCGGCACCAGTGGCACCAGAGCCGGATAGCAGATGTCGGCGGACCGCTGGGCGTCGGCGGGCGAGTTGATGCTAGGCACGCCTGGCGTTGGCGATGTGAAGAATGTATATTCGACCTGTTGGCATGAAGGTCAGTTGTTTGTTTATGTGAATCATGGTTAGGGTCATGGTCATGGTCATGTCATGGTCATGGTCATGGTCATTGTTCCTGGGCGGGTAGATAGATGGAAGGTAGGGGTAGGAAGGTATGGGCGGCTTATCTGCTTGCCTATATAATATACAGCATGGTACATTATATAGTGCTCAGAGGACAGTCTGTGTGAGGTAACAAGGACAGAGGGGGAGGTCTGGTCTAGGTAGGCATAGGTATGTATAGGGAGGTCTGGTATAGGGAGGTGTTGGGAGGTGTTGGGAGGTATAGGGAGGTCTGGTCTAGGGTTGTATAGGGCGGTGTTGGGAGGGATAGGCAGGTATAGAGAGGAGACTAACAGAAGGTAATCCCATCCCCTCAACCACCGGCTTCAGCGCATCAGTCATATGAGTCGATGAGTTTGGGTTGATGATTAGAATGCGCAGCGGCGTTGAGGTTGAGGTTGAGGTTGACTTGTCGGTGGCCATGATGGTGATGGTGATAGTAATGGTGATTTTTGTCCGGATAGATTGCTAGAAGTAGACTTCTGTAGTTGTAGTGGTAGCTGTAGCTGTAGCTGTGGTTGTGGCTGTGGCTGTAGCTGTAGCTGTGGTTCTAGCTGTAGATGTAGATGTCTGGCTCTGGCTCTAGCTCTCTCTCTGGCTCTGGCTATTGCTCCGGCTATCGCTCTGGCTCTGACTCTGCCTCTGGCTCTAACTCTGACTCTGGACCTAGATCTGGTTCTGTTCTGGTTCTGTTCTGGTTCTGCGAGTGTGAGGCTGAGGCTGAGGCTGAAGCTGAAGCTGAAGACAAAAGATCCTCGGCCGTGAAAAGAGAAATATCACTTCTCGAGATAGGGATCGGGAGCGGTATGCCGTCGGCTCGACAGGCTAAGGCGGTTTCGGTTTGCGATAGAGTATGAAGATATGACAGATGATAAATATGATAGATAATAGATATGATAGATCAGTTTCACTTTCACTCTTACTCTCACTCTCTGTCTTTCTGTCTTTATATGTATCCTGTATCTGTGTACGGAGGATATATTTAATTTTATTTCGAGTTCGATGCGGGGCCAAGCCTCAGCTCACGACACACCGACCGAGGACCAAGGAGGGATTGTGATGAATTGATCTACTACGCACTACTATTCTGTACGGAGCACTATAAGGATACTACTCGTACCAGGATACTATCAGGACTATCAGAATACTACAAGGATACTACCAGTACTACCAGAATACTACCAAGTTACTACGAGGATATTACTGGGATAAGGACTACCAGGATACCTCGCATGGACTTGCAGTATAATAAACCAATGACCAATGCGACTTATATTTGTTGCCTACAAGCATAAACATCAACGAACGGACGGACCTTGCAGGCGTCGAATGGCACGCTGCTGTACACTACCGACCTGACACGAGCAACATTGCTGTCGCCCATGTCGAGATCAGTCGACCACAGCCATCCTCGGTGCTGGTCAGCAGCCTGCTCACCCTCGCCTCGCCTCGACACAAAAAATAAAAAGCCAATCCTCATCATGCCAAAAAGAATGTAACCTGGCCCAAGCCAGAATGCACTGCAGGCTTAAGCCCGGCGGCAACCCCATGGGATTGATTCCCCAGCTTGAAGCCATCTGCGGTTGAACCGACCGATAAAGCGATGACGACTCACCCTCGGTTCCTTCAACCCCCCGCGACACCAACTGGACTGGAAACGTCGCTTCCATCAAGACTGTGGGTTGCGCGAGACTGTGCCGCTCCTTCATCCAAGGCTCCTATAGCCAAGTGAACAGACGCTGTGGAATTGAATTTGAGCTGCAATTCAACGCCGTCGAACTTCCGAATTCGTGAGTGACTGTTTCGGGTGGAAAGTTGAACCCCGTTTGTCGACCTCCGTGCTATCTTGCTCTCATATCAAGTCGTGACCTTTGGAGCCTCGAGGTGGGCACCCCTGAGTCGCACATGTCAACGCGCAGGATATTGTGGTAATTGATGTCTTGCTGTCGCAGATGCCTTTGAAAGACTTGCGACAGAGCCGCCCACGATCATGGCACAAACAATCGACCTCTCCCGCGGGTCGATCCACGTTCGATTCCACGACCAGAGCCACGGCTGTGGTTGGTCCCACGGCCTCCCCCCTGACTGTGATTCCCACGATGTCCCGAACCACGACCACTGTTGAATTGGGTGTGGTTGTGACTGTGACTGTGGCTGTGACTATGACCGTGACTGCTGGTGTTGACCAGAGGAGTGCTGCCTCGCCCAAAGCTTCCGCGGTCGAACGAGTCCGGGTCGATCTCGTCGACAGGGATTTGAGGCTTGGCTTGTGCAGGTTGAGCGGGTGTACTGAACGAAACGCCAGGGGAACGAGCGTGGCCCCCTTTGCCACGCAAAGAGCCGGTGGCCGACCCTCGAGAAGACTGTGCTCCTCGGGCCGGGCCCCGACCGCGTGGTTTGAAAACCACCTCCTCTTCGTCGCTGTCTTCATCCTCATAACTGAACAGCGTCTTTGCCTCGGGGCGGGAGCCTCGCTTCATCACCTCCCGCTTCGGAGTTTCCTGAGCGCTGACTTCGCCATCTTCCAGTCCGAGAGTGCTCCTCAATTGGTGGATGTTCTTGGTCGGAACTCCAAAGTCTCGCGCCAAATGCATAGTGTCGGCAGAGTTGGTGAGGAAAACCACACTCTCATTGGGCGGCAACTTCTTCTCGTGGACATACCACACCACCGAATTCAGCAGTGGCTTCAGCGATGGCGGCACAGGGGTCTGATCGTGTGCGATCATGACCGCCGACTTCACCTCGGGACTGGTTTTGGAGCTCTGCGGGCCAGAGGAAGCGGGAGACAAGGGCGGTGTCGAAGTGGGCGACGCGGCGGCCGCCTCTTTGGTGAAGTTTAGTCTATCCAACAACATTTGCGACAGCGTGCCTCCGGCTCCAGTACGTTCCTTCAAGGGAAGTTCGGCATCCTTCTCTTGTTCCTTGTCCATGGCAGATAGTGTGGATTCCTCTTCATTCGTCCCGGCCGTCTTCAGATTTTCATTGATGTAGCGCTCTTCAACCTCGGCCCAGGTTGTGTATTGCTCGTCGGGGCCCTGCAAGATTATAGGATCGTGTCGCAAGTCACCGCGGGAGGAGGTATACCGGTCGAGGAACTTGACCGCTTTGCGTGCGTTGGCACCAATCTGCGAAGAGTCTTTCTTCAGCAGGTGTAGGCGCTCGATGGCTACCACCCGGCGTCAGCAACAGGCCCAGCCCGGACGGGTGCCCGACATGAACTCGCTTAGCATACTGTAGAGAGGCACCACCAAAATAATCCTGCCCTGAGCGACCCAGGTTTCGATCTCTGCGAAGTTTCTGGTCAAGGCGGTGTCGTCTACCAGACAACGGATGGCATTTTGGCTCGACATGGAGGGTGGGCGGCCGGATCGGGCCATGATTGTGTGATTGCGGCGCTTGGTAGTAGCTAGCGGCTCATCCGCGCAACGTTGGGAAGGCGAGGTAGCTAGACGCCACAACTGCAGCCACGGGTGACATGTCAGCCAAAGAACGAGGCGCACGGGGTGGACGAACAGCGAGACAGTGAAAGAGTGAGGGAGTGAGAGGGGACGGGAGTGAAGGGCAGGATGGTGGAGGGGGGAGGGTGGAGGGTGAGCGTGAAGGCGCCGTACCGGGAGTAAGAGTGGTGCAGGGCAGGTAGCAATGGTAATGATACGTGCGCATCTTCGCTAGCAGTGGTCGAAGGCTGTAAGATGGCAGCAGGCGACCTCATGGATATGCGACGACATGGACATCGACAGCGCGGGTTCAAGTAATATGGGGATGGTGAATTGGTCGGGGGGAGGGGGATGGTGTTCAAGTTGAGTCAATGTTTCTGGTTTCTGGTTTCTGGTTTCTTGTGTGGTGGAATTGCATGGTGGAGGGTGGAGGTTGGTACACAGTCTGAGCGGCCCAGCGCCCAATAATGATGGTCGATGGTGGGCGGCCGCCCGCCTGCGACTGCGGCAGTGACTGCGACCGACTGCGAGGTTCTGGGGGTCCATGATAGGTACTAGGTACGCATACCTACAATCATACATTCATTCGTTCATTCATTCATTCATTACACACGGAGAGTACGGAGTAGACTCAGTAGACTCAGTAGACTCTTCTATCAGCCAGCAGCCAGTCGATTGCACAACGATTGCAAGCACTTCTACTACGACCCGTCCCACTGCTACTGTCTCAGAACACCGTCAAACAGCTGACCGTGTCGTTCTTGAGCACCTCAAACAGCATGCCCGGAAATCCAAACAGCTCCGTGTTACTCATTCCGTTGATGGCGTCGGCCGCCGCGGCCCCATGATCCCCGGCCTGGTCCCGGCTTGGGCTCTCCTCCTCCAAATCGCCCAGTAGTTCAATTGAACTCTCCGGGCTCTCGGCCCATCCTCTGTTCAGCACCATGCCTCGTTGCATCTGTTTCTCCTCGTGTTCATCTTTGTATATGCCCTGCCACACGTTCTTCAGCGCAGACGACATGGTGGAAAATGCCATCTCCGAATTCAAGGTTTCCACCCCCGTGCGGATCCCCCATCGACTTCTTCGGTGTCGATTGAAGGAGAATGACCCGGGAATGTTGGCATGTAAGAATATTTTGGTCGCCACAAGTTGAGCGCTCGACGATGCCGAAGGCTCATACGTTGAGGTGCCAGGAAATGCCGGCGACCTTGCCGCGGGAGCAGAGATCAGAATGTCGAATCCGTGATGGAAGTAATTGTAAAAGCACTCGTCGCTCGACTCCGAGGGCCTATCCTTCTCACGCTCCTGTTCCATGTCCGAGTCCTCGGTGTAGCTTTGTATGGATGATTGATCAGTATCCAAAGCCTGAGGGTCAAGCCCAGGAGACATGCTCGGGAGTCGCCGGTTTGCTGGGTTGCCTGTGGCATGAATGGAAATCCGTCGGTCATTCTTACGATAGATCGCATCGGGGGGCCCTAACTCCGCCACGAGATCTTGTGGTGTAGTTTCGTTCAACGTGATACTCAGCGGGGGCGAGCTTCTCCGTACCATCTCGAGTCTACCAGCTCCATACACTCGGACCTCTTCAATCTCATCGGGAATTGTCTCGGAGGATTTCCCGCCCAACGAGGGAAGCCGTGGGTAGATGGGAGGCCTCGTATACAAAGTCTTTCGGGCTTCAGTCCATGAAGAGCCCAAGAAGATGGCCATCGACGAGGCTGGACCGGTCGCCGTCGAGGATAATATCGAGACAAAGTCGACCTTGTCAGACCAAGAGTTGTGTTTCACAGGGAACGTGAATGCCAGGCCGGGATAGGACAGTACATAGGCACCGGTCGCCTGTCCTGCTTCTGGGGGAATGTATTCCCCGGCATACGTCGGCCCGAAGAGTCGGTTGTAGACATGCCTGAACGACGGCCCACTTGGGCCTGGTTCGTCGTGGTTACCTTCATCTGAACTCTTGTTCCGGCGAACGAGCTCGATGTTCTTGTAGACAAAGGTGCTGAGAGAGAAGTCCAAGATCTCGATGAGTCGTAGTCGTTGATCGGGGCCATCAAAGCGGAGTCTCAGTCCATTGCGTGGAAGGCTGATGACGACAGGCTTGGTGATGGGCTCAGAAGCAGAGTACGACAATTCAATGTCGGGATAAGTCTGCGGAGACGCCTTCAGCCTCGTCAGGACGCTGTGGAGAGAAGAACCGAGAACTTGACAGGTCAGTAGAGTACCTTGTGCAGAAGCGGCAGACCGTACCTATCCAGCCAGTGCCCCTTTCGGGCTGGATTTGCAGGGCGGACTTGAGGGAGGGATCGGTCATGTTGATGGTGACGCGGCCATACTGGGCGGATTTGTAGGATTACAGGCGCGGGATTGTAGGAGCGGGCGGTGAGGACAGTTATAAGCCAGTAAGCCAAGTGACCAGCGCAGTCAACGAGGTCACAAGAGTCTCGAGTCGCCTGTCAGTTTGGTAGGCGTCGTTTGATCATGTTGGAGAGGGCTCAGGAGGCCTAGGGCGGCGTCATGCCGCCGTGTCATGTCACGTGCCAGGCCGCCCCAGCACCTGCTTTGGTAGCGCCGTTGATTGTTTATTTTCCATCCCGTTTGGTGCAGCCCACCACTGCTGCATGCTGCATGCTTGTTCGCTGTCCGCCATCCGCCTTCCGCCATCCCACTGCATACCACTACCTCTTAGCAACCTTGTCGTCGGTGCCTCATCCTTGAACACCGCTCTCACCTGCCTACCACTATCTATATTGCCCTGGGTGCGGCGTATTCACGACTTCTCCCGTGGACGTCTATTCCACGCCTCGCCCATCATGGTAGGGCCACAACGGCCGACCATTTCCTCCTCCCGGAGTTCCATGCGCCCCCCGCCCAGACCGAATGCCACACACTATGGCTCGATGACCGGTCGAGCCGCATCGCCCGCCCTGTCCAGCGCTTCAAGTAACAATTCTAGCGCAGGGACCAAGAGAAAGGAAAGAGACTTCGATCACGACCATGGAGAGGAGACCAACATTCACGTCGTTGTTCGGTGTCGAGGCCGCAGTGACCGAGAAGTGCGAGAAAACAGCGGCGTGGTGGTGTCGACCAGCGGCGTCAAGGGACAGAATGTGGAATTATGCATGGGGCCGAATGCCATCAGCAACAAGACCTACTACTTCGACAAGGTCTTCTCTCCCGCCGCCGACCAGGCAATCATTTATGAGGATGTGGTGGCACCCATCCTGAACGAGATGATGACTGGATTCAACTGCACCATCTTCGCTTATGGCCAGACAGGCACGGGAAAAACGTACACAATGTCCGGCGACATGACAGACACGTATGGACTGCTCTCCGATGCGGCCGGCATTATACCTCGCGTCCTCTACTCGCTGTTCCAAAAGCTGGAATCTGACCAAGTGGAATGCTCCGTCAAATGCTCATTCATCGAGCTGTACAACGAAGAGTTGAGAGATCTCCTGTCCGTGGACGACACCGTCAAGCTCAAAATCTACGACGATTCGAGCAAGAAGAGCCACTCCGCCACAGTTGTTCAGGGCATGGAGGAGTCGTACATCAAGAATGCCGCGGCCGGAATCAAACTGCTTCAACAAGGGAGCTACCGGCGTCAAGTCGCAGCCACCAAATGCAACGATCTCAGCTCTCGAAGCCACACAGTATTCACCATAACCACGTACCTCAAGAAGGCGAGCGAGACCGGCGAAGATTTCATCTGCTCGGGCAAACTCAACCTCGTCGACTTGGCTGGCAGCGAGAACATCCAACGAAGCGGGGCGGAGAACAAACGAGCCGCCGAGGCCGGCTTGATCAATAAAAGTCTACTGACGTTGGGACGAGTCATCAACGCTCTCGTGGACAAGAGCTCGCATATTCCATACCGCGAATCCAAGCTCACAAGACTGCTGCAAGATTCCCTGGGTGGCAGAACCAAGACTTGCATAATAGCAACGGTTTCGCCAGCCAAAAGCAATCTAGAAGAAACCATCTCGACCCTGGACTATGCGTTCCGGGCAAAGAATATTCGCAATAAACCTCAGGTCAACTCGATGATTTCCAAGAAGACACTGCTGAAAGAGTTCACCACCGAGATCGAAAAGCTGAAAAGCGAGTTGATCGCGACACGACAACGCAACGGGGTCTACCTCACCAACGAGCAATATGAAGAGATCACGGTCGAAAGCGAGTCACGGAGAATATTGAGTGACGAGCAGAGAGCCCGGATTGAGACTCTGGAGCTCAGCCTGCGGAACAAGGTTCAGGAGTTGTTCAGTTTGACCAACAATTTCACTGTCATGAAACGAGACAACGAGGCCACGCGCGTGACTCTGGAGAGTACCAAAGACGTCCTGGTCAAGACAGAAGCGGTGCTCGCCGAGACAGAGAGGACCCTGGCAGAGGAGGCGGCGCTGCGGCAAGCGCATGAGCTGACAGAAGAACAGCTTTTTGGGATTGGCACGGCCCTGGTTTCGACCGTCGACGCTTCTTTGAACCATGTCGATGGACTCCACGCGAAGTTGAGACGGCGATCTGATCTACACTCCCGGAACCGAGAGTCGTGGGAAGCCTCAGTCGGCCAGGTCACAGACGTCTCCCAGCTGGTGGACGCCCGCATCGAGCAATTTCGAATCGCACATACAGAAATGGTGGAAGCCACTTCAACGCGGTTGGAGGCATTCTTGTTGGCCGAGAAAGAGCATCTGGAAAAGTCGGCAGGGCTGGTGGTCTCGAAGGCGGCCAGCCTTGCTGAGGAGCATGCTGCAATGGAAAATCAGTGCTCGGGTGCAAAGGATGCCATGAACGAGGTGCTGGAAGAAATCAAAGATCTTCGCGAGGAGGTCAAAGAGAAGGTGAGCGCGGGCCTGCAAGGTCTGTCTCAAGCGGCCGCGAAGATATCCGGCGAGGTGATTTCCGAGCTGGAACAGTTCCATACTCAGTTGCATGCATCTTACAGTGGAATGGGGAAGGAGTTCAAGGCCTTGTTTGACGGAATGACCAAGCAGCTGGCAGCTCAACGCGAGGCCGCAGATGTCCTCCGGTCTGCCCTGCAAGAAGCGAATCGCGCCAACATTGAGGCGCAGCTGGCCACTTCGACACAGCTCCAAGCCATTCGTGACGAGGAGAGGCAGGCGGCGCAAGAGGAGAAGGACAGACTGAAGGAGCAAGTCCTCCTTTTCATCGACTCCTCCTATGAGCGGCAACAAGACAGGATATCCAACCGATTGATCAACACTCAATCGCACCTGCTCCGGGCGACAGAGCAATTCGAGAGTGCCGACAAGGTGTTCCGCGAAGGCATGGACGAATGGACCACCCAAGACAGCCAGCTGATGACGCGGGTGGTCAGTTCAAAGGATGATCTGAAGAGCAGAATGAAGGGGGATTGGACGGTATGTGTTTGTTTCTTTGTGGCTGGCCGGAAAGCTAACCCTTCGATAGGCTATAAGTGCGCGCAACAACGCCATCCAAAAGTCCACCCAAGCCGTGCACGAGGAAACCGTCAAGATCGTCGATGCCCAGCTGTCCCAGATGGCGACCCAAATGGCCGCCCTGGACGAGTTTGTGACGAGGGCACGGTCTCAGAACGAGTCTCATCATGCCGAGCGCGCGAAGGGCTTGGAGAAGGTGGTTTGCCAGGCTCGAGAGGGGTTTGCCGGCCTCGCAACGCAGCTGGAAGCCCGTAGTGGGTGCTTGGAGACCTTTGGCAACGAGCTGAAATCGCAGACTGCGGGGCTGGATGACCTGGGCAGCTCTTTGGACCACGACACACGACCCCTGCTGCGCAACCTGCGGGAAGAGATCTCGGCCACGAAGTTGATGGACTACGATCCCACAGGACAGACGCCACCGAAGAAGGAATGGCAGTACCCGACTGACCTCCCACGCACGGAAAGCCATGAATCCATCATTGCCCGGTTGAGGGGGCTCCCTGATCCTGCCCTGGCGTCGAAGACACCCTCGATAGCCAGAACGCCGGGTCAATCGCCACGCAAACAAACATCTCCCCGCAAGATAGCGGTGTCGCCCTCCAAGCAGTCCAGTCCAAGTAAGACGAAAGTGTTTACTGACGGCGACATCTCGGCCACTCAGCAGCCATCTCAAATGACCACGACCGTGAGTGGGCTGGCCGAGTCTGCCAAACTTGGTGGCCTCAAAGAAATCGACATCAATGTGGCCGGGAGACCGGCGTCGGCTGCATCCGTTCCCGGGGAGGAGAAGGAAAGACCGGTGTTAGTGGACTTCAGCAAAAGTGTGGGCAGTGGCAGTGTCAGTGGCCAGCCGCCCTTGAAACGACATGCCACCACCAACGCGGTTGTCGAGAGTAAACTGCCGATGAAACTGGGACGTGCCAAGAGCAGCGTGGCGGGAATGCCGATGGGGATCGGGGTGGAGAATTTCAGTCAGAGCGTCGGTGTGGGAGGAGGACGGAGGCTGAGAAGCAGTCCGCCTGAATGATGGATGTTTTGTTGTTGGGCTGATGGGTTGGAATGCACTGGGTCGTCGTTGGCAAGGGTCTAGTTGGTGTCCTTGATGGATGGGCTGCTGCTGTGGTTGTCGTTGTCGTCGTTGTTGTTAGATACCCCCTTTTGCGCGGTGGCAGGTTGCTTTGCAGGATGGCCAGGTCGAGGGGAAATTGGACTAGCTACATTCAAGGGAAGGTGGACGAGGAGAATTGCACGTACAGGTATCACCACGTGTACCATAGGTACTTGAGCATCGAATCGAGTCTGAGACTGACCAAGCAGCCTTGCGTGACTATGGTGACTGCGGGCGACTTTCTATACCAGTCCGGAGTATTATGGAATGGAGACTGAGGTGTACGCTGTACGGATACACAGTACCTACCTGATACCTGACCTTAGTGCAGTGTAATTTATACCCCAAAAGCGGCGTTGCTTGACTGACATTTCCGATCTAGTGGAATGTGGTGGAGATGGATTTCCCCTTTACCTTGATTAGAACTCTAAATCTACCTGCCATTACTGTACTCTCGCAGGTGTTGTGTTTTGCGCGGATGATCAATCACTCATCACCCTGCTGGTGCTGGTTCAAGTGATGGTGATTGCATGGATCGATGAAGAACTATCCAATCCATACATCACTATGTCCCGGTATAGGTGGTATCCATACATCACTGTCTCGGTATGGGTGGTCGAACCTTGAACTAACATACAAATAACAAGTCTATGCCCCCTGCCAGTTCGCACATCAGTCTACTTCTCTGCCCAAGCTGCAGCCCCAAATGTCAAAGGTTGAAAAGTTCCATGTTCTCTATCAAAGGATCGCAGGGAGATCGCAGGCTATATGGTATAGTATCCCCAAACCAGCCTTCTGGCTCGAGAACAAGGCTGGGAATGCGCCCAAGTTTGACAAGCAGTGAAGAGCGGGAGGCCTCCCGGATCTCAACCACGAAACCTGGGTTTCTCACTCTAAAAATAATCCATGCATATATTTTGAAAGTCCGACATTATTCCTCAACGCAAAGACCCCTATGTGAAAAGGGGAGTCTAGCAGCAAAGTGTAGGGCCGTTGGCTCAGTGGTAGCGATGGACCTGTTTAACAGGGACGCCTCTACTACACCACGACGCTGGACTCTCTAATTCACTAGGCGAGAACGACCGAGTTCAATACTCATACGATACGATACCCGGATACCTGGCCTGCCTTTATTGTCACCAATACCTAACCTGCCTTTATTATCTTCTGCTGTCAACCGCCTCGAGGTTGCTGAGACCGTAAAAAAACTAGGAATCTAGGTTTCACTTCCCAGGACCCCCGCTAGGGGTTCCTGGAAAAAGTTTTTGTCGGTTTGGATTGCCCAAGTCTTGGGGTCATGTGGTCATGTGGTCTTATTGTTATTTTGCAGCGCTCAAGTCTTGGGTCATGTGGTCTTTTTACTCTTGGAACCCAAAACTCCTTTCCCTTCTGGACCTGCGACTTGCTTGTCCTGATGAACTCGTCCAAGGAAGCGAGCGGGAACCTCGATCTGATCTGGTATTTTCGCAATAACCTCACTCCAATATGCGATCCAATATGCGATCCAAAAACCGTCGGCGCTCATCTCGGTCCATATCTCTGAACAGCCGCACAGCTTGGGCAATGCGCTCCTCTTCGTTGATGTTGGGTGCCACCTCTTGTTGAACCGGAACCTGCGGCTGAACTGGAACCACCTGCTGAACTGGAATCACTTGCTGAACTGGCTCACGATGGTTGTCGCAGCGCCTATTGCCGAGAGCATCGTTCCAACGGCCATATCGAAAGCACCCGTCAATGCTGCATTCATGACGTCGACAGTAACGTGCAGAGGGGTTGTTGAGGTCGGAAACGGCATCAGTGCAATGTCGCCTGCGGCATTCATGACGTCCACAGTAATGTGCAGTGTTGTTGTTGGGGTCGGAAACGACAACAGTGCAATGTCGCCTGCGGCATTCATGACGTTCACAGTAATGTGCAGAGGGATTGTTGAGGTCAGAAACGGCACGAGTGCAATCTCTCTTGCGGCAGGTATCTGGGATGGCGCATGTCAGCTCGGCACAAGAGTCAGACGTTCTACTGCACACGTAGAGGAATATCAAGGGAGTTGAAGGACTCTGCAACTTACGCTGATGGCAGTATGCTGAAGAAGGCCTGGCGGCCCGATCGGCGCAGTTGATAAACGAACACTTGTCTGACAGGAAGCTGGCGGTTAGCGAAACCAGAGTGTTCGCAACGCAACACCACATAGCAAGCTTGTTCACTCACGATCGTTGCAGTATTTGGATGGCACTAGCTGCGAGTCTTGGACATGGAGAGTGCACTCTCTGCGACAGACTGCGCAGAGCCGGACCAGCGCCTTGCCATATCGTATGGGAGCCATGGATCGGGCCTCGTCTGGAGATGTGTGGAATGTGTTTATATATTACCAGAGTGATTATGAAGATGAAGAGCAAGGAATCCAAAGAAGAAAGGTTTCTGATTATATGCATGCTCATGCTCTCGCGACTTCGGATGACGCTGACGGTGCCAGCCAGTTTCTGTGGCTATGCTCATCCGGGGTGGAATTCAAATTCTCTGGATTGGGCGACTTGTTGCAGGAACGAGTTCAAAAACCTGGGATGGCAGCATGCGACATTCTGGTCAGGGCTATACGGTGAGGTTTGGATGGTATTGGTCCATCAGGGGCCCCTAAGCCTTGCCATCCCGTATCGTCCGGGCCTGGTGGCAAACCGGCCGCGCTTGCATTTCAAAAACCTCCCAGGTGCTCTGATTGGTTCCTGGCCCGAGCCATTGCCTGGTAGGTGCCTGTTCTTGGTTTCTGGTCTCTCACTTGAATCCTGCCAACGTGGGGTTGGGACTGCAGGACATGTTGTATTCATCGTGCCCCTCCTTCCACGACTCATCGCAAGACTCAGACAATTTCCGGCCTTCGTCGTCGTGTTCTCGATCAGATCTATTACTGATACCTGAATACCTGAATACCTGAATCCCAACCAGTCTCTTCGTCTCCATTTTCAATATGCCCTCCTCAAAGAACAGCCACAAGTCCACGCCTGCGCCACAAAAGGGCCAAGGCGGACGCCCGGTGTTACTGACGCGGGACGATCGTCGAATCATCATACGACTGGCTCTGTTCTCTGCCTCAGATTGCGACGGCATCGTAGTGGCAGGGATTGAGGGCAAGGTCGGGTATGCTGCCTAGCTCCCATTGCATGTTCCCCGACACACTATTGACCAAGATTCCAGGGCATCAACAGTCCGAGATGTCGTGAAAAGCCACCTAGGTCCTGACTATGGCCGATTCATGTACTCCCATGATAAAAAACATCCGAGGGGCAAAGAGACCTTCGACATTGGACGCCGATGTCTCAAAGATGACGAGAGTGACCTCGAGGCTTATATCCGTCAAGGGGCCGACGGTGGGGTGGTCGCTCCTGACCTGCCCGACGGGCCTTCGCCAAAGCGGAGAAGAGAAGACTATCCTGCTGAAGGGGATGAGCTCGTCGGATTCAATTGGGTTGTCGGGCTCCACCTATGCGATGCCCCTAGGCAGAACAGCATCCGCGCTGATTCTCAGACACGGAACAAGGATCGTGCTCACAAAAACGTGGCTCGCTCAACTCAGAAGGCGCGTCTCACGCCCTCAGTACAAAGGAGGGTGCATAGTATGAGGAACTTCAGCAGGAGAGTGCAGTGTACGAGGAACTTGAGCCAGACAAAGAGGCGCAGGTCCAATCCGCCTTCAACATCTCCCATGACTGAGAAGCTGATAAGGATACTCGTGAATCTTTATCCTCATCTCGCCGCGAACCATGGCAGTAGCCAGGTGCCAGAAATCCTTTATCTTGCGGAGGATGCTGGAGTCGAGATTGCAAATCACCCAGCCTTTACGCTACAGGATTGGCATGGTACCGTCGACCGCTTTGGTAACGTGCCACTTCACTATGTGGCCACTAGGACCTCGAACATTCTGCGCTCCATCAGACACCTGGTCACGTTGGTCCCGGCAGAAAACCGAGCCGAGTGCTTGGGCGCCCAGAATCAGGCAAAGCAGACTTTCCTGTTCGGTTTGGAGCCGGAAGGCCTCATCACCGACCGAGACAGTCCCGAATCCTTCTTATGCGGCCTGGAGGAAATCTTGGAATATATCCGCAAAGAATCCCCAGCATTTGATTTCAACCACCGGGATTGGGATGGACAGACCTTCTTGCACCAAGTCCTATACTGCGACTGTAATTCGAAAGTCAGATCCCAGTTGCAGAAACCGAATGTGGCCAACAGGCTGCAAGAAATCTGCAAGAATTTCCGCATCGACCCATCCACCATGGACAATTTCGGCTACGATATTAAATCTTTCTTCCCGGACAACATCGAGGAGGGACCGCCCTCTTCTACTTGGACTGCTTGGATTGAGCAGAATGGAGGGATGGACTTCAACAAGCTGCTCGCGAAATTCCATGAACAAAGTACCACCGACATGGGCTTTTCCCAGTATGACCGAGACGGAAACACGTTCTTGCTGGCATTTATCATGCCTGCGGGTGCGGCCTCTGGTGAAGTCGACGCCAATGTTGTGAAAGATGTTCTTCACTCCATCCTGAAGAGAGTCGATTGTGTTGATATGCGCAACAGGCGTGGAGAGACGCCGCTGCAACTGGCGACAAGACTCGGCCTCCCACATGTGGTGTGGTGCCTTCTCAAGAACGGAGCTTCAATTGCGGTGAAGGACAATCGCGGCACAGGGCTTTTCAGTGCTGCGAGAAAGGCTTACCACGACCGACGATACTCCAGCGACGAAGGAGCATTCTGGAGAGAAATCGACATGATGCTCTGCGTATGCCTGCTTTCTGATGTTGCATGTGGTCACAAAGTCGACAAGGAGTCTGACCTCAGGTTTCGGCCTTATCATTCGCCTTTTCGAGAAACAAACACGCGGGGATATCAGGGGCCGACGCGCTCGACCAAGAAGCACCCAAAGAAAAAAATGTTTCACATCCGAGACCACCCCCTCTACCAGAGAGAATGGCGGTTCTGAACTTGACAAGGGAAGTGGGAACCGAACAGACGCAGGCGGCATTCACGCAAAGTCGTCGCAGATCCGCAGCCGTGAGGCGCTTGCGACCCTTGGCTGCAAAGAACCCGAAAGCTGGGCTTCAGCCTCCCGCTGGTGGAACAAGTTAGGACTTGTACAGTACTACATTGGAGACTGCGGCGTGCAATGCAGGGTCGGGTTGGGATGCCTAGAGATCGAGGAGACATGAGCCGAGTTGCAAAGGATTGGAAATACTACGATCATTTATGACACTGGAGGTGCCGCGCTCTGGCACGCAGCAAACACGTCTTGGGTGAAGTTCCACACAGCCTCATCCACTCCCCTCTCCCTCAGGTCGGCCAACACACGCTCATTGTCGGTGGGTTCGCCCAGCGGATCGATCAGGAAGATGCCGCCGGCGGACGTCTTGGCGACCTCCAGCCCATCGGGTACAGGCACAAGGCCAGGAGGCCCTCCTCCTCCTCCTCCTTCCTGAGTGTCGACCTGCACAGCATAGCGATCGTTGGTGGCCAGGAACACGGCGCGCGCACCGGCCTCGTCCAAGGCCATCTGGTCCGGCGGCGACATGCCGAACTCGGCGGCCCTGGCTAGGCCCGGCGTAGCCACAGGGCCGGGGTACCAATGCACGATACTCAGGCGCGGGTTCTGGCGGGCAATGCGCTCGAGAGCCAGGGTGCCCATGGTGCCGCAATGGAAGGAGGCGTTCCAGACGGAATAATGGCTCGGGTCGCGCAGGTCCAGGTCGCTCTCGTTGAGAGGTCTCTCGAGGCCGCCGGCCAGCACACTGACGACGCGCGGGCTCGACACGGCCGGGTTGTTCAGCAAGGGGAGAAAGCGCTGCACGGCGCGCAGGCGCGAGTAGTACCGCGTCGACATGGACGGGTCGAGGCCTTCGCGCGTGTCCTTGCGCCCTTCAAAGGCCATGAAGCCCGCCGACATGAAGAGGATGTCGACCTTGGTTTCCTGGCTCGCCACCGCGTCGACCACCTTGTCGATCTCGCACACGAGCGACACATCGGCCGTGATGAGCTTGTAAGTGCCCGTCGGATGGGACTGGCCCAGCGAGGCCAGCACACTTTGATGTGCGGCCGCCGTGGCTGGTCGGGACACACTGTAGATGCGCGGAGAGGACCCCTGCGCCTGCTGGGCGAATTGTTGCAGCGCGTTCAGTCCAATGCCTGAGGTGGCGCCGATGAATACCGCCACCAGTCCTGGTGGGAGTGACGCCAGCCGGGCATTGGACTGCCGCACTGTCTGGAGCGAGACCATTATTTGCTGCTTGCTGGAGCGTAGTCTCTTGACTTTCTTGCTTTCTGGAGCGTAGTCTCTTGACCTTCTTGCTTTCTGGAGCGTAGCCTCTTCACTTTCCAAGGGCCCAGTCAAGTTCGGCTTCTAGTTGAGGTTGGGATGAGGTTGGGATGAGGTTGAAATTGAGGTTCAGGTTGAGGTTAATGGGGAGAGGGACAGGGAGGGAGAAGCACGTTGAAAAGGGAAAGGCTGGCCATCCTTTCGCGAAAGTGACACCGTGTGGTGGATATGAGGGCCTTACAGTAACTGATCTTGACCTTGCACCGGGGACCAATGCTGATGTGTACATGCTACACGGTCCAAGATTGATACCACGCAGACCTAGTACGCATACCCGTACATACCGAGGACTCTGAGGCGTGTGTTTGTCAGCTCGGAGCCTCGTGTGCCCGACTCCGTTCCGCCGTGGTTACGGCGGACGTGACAGTAAAAGGCGCAAGTTCCGGGCCGGCCGTGGCTCCGGCTTCAGCTTGTCGTCCGCCGTAGCCATATTACACCGGACTTACTTACTCCGTACTCTGGACTTACTATACTCCGTATTCTGTACTTCCACTGCAGCGGAGGTCGAGAGTACAGAGTAGAGCTGAGGCCACACATCCACGAGAGTACAGAGTAGAGCTGAGGCCACACATCCACGAGAGTACAGAGTGAGCTCAGGCCACACACCGTCATCCACATCCACATCCACGGCGTAGGTGACAATTCGAAGAAGCAGCCACACCAAGACCAAGGTAGACATTGTTCCAACTACTGATGTCCACTATGTCCAGTGAGGCTATAGGTAAGTAAGGCAAGGCATTATATAACGCGGCACCTTCCACCAGGGACTCTGTAGAGAGGCCAAATTCCTCCTCCTCCTCTTCTTCTTCTTCCTCCTCGTCGTCGCCAGCTTCCTCCTCCTCTTCCTCCTCTTCGTCGTCACCAAATATCCCCTGCTTCGTATCCCGTATCCCTATCCCACAGCAATCCCAATCCCAATCCCAATCCCAATGGCCTCGAACTCGAAACTCCTCGTCGTCATCGGCGCCACCGGCACCCAAGGTGGCTCCGTCGTCGAGACATTTCTCCAAGAGCCGGGATGGACGATCCGCGGGCTCACGCGGAACCCTGGCAGCGCAGCCGCCCAAGCCCTCCAAGCTCGCGGCGTGGAGATGGTGGCGGCCGACGTCGACGACGTGGCGTCCTTGCTGGCCGCTTTCGCCGGCGCCCACACCATCTTCAGCATGACCGACTTCTGGACCGGGTTCTTCAACCCGGCCAACCAGGCCAAACTGGCTCCCGGCCAGACCTTGATGGAATGGGCCCATGACTACGAGTTGCAGCAGGGCAAAAACATCCTGGCCGCCGCCAATCAGACGCCAGGCCTGCAGAGGCTGATCTATTCGGCGCTGTCGTACGCCTCTAAATGGTCCCGGGGCAAGTATACGCACGTCTACCATTACGACGCCGAAGGAAGGGCGGTCGACTACGCGACATCCCATTATCCCGAATTGATGGAGAAGACTAGCGTCATCCAGATCGGAATGTATCTCACAAATACGCTGTGGATGTCTCATTATCAGCCTAAAAAGGTGCGTTCGGTTCGTTTGGTTTCGTTTGGTTTACTGTCGTGCGACCCTTGAAAAGACCACCTGGCCCCGTTGGGTTTCGTTTTTGGTTTACTGTCGCGCAACCTTCGAAAAGATCACTACCTGGCCCCGTTTACCTCAGTTGATAATGGATGTCGAAAGATCACTTGGCCCTGTTTACCCTCATTTGATAAAGGATGCTTTACGTATCAGTCGCTCCAAGTGGATCGTTATCATGCTGGCTCTGCCTGACATTGATCATTCTGGGATTGTTATTGATGATTCTGATATTGTTATTGACATTGGATGATTGACGTTCTGCTTGGATGATTGATGTTCTGCCTTGGATGATTGATGTTCTGCCTTGGATGATTGACGTTCTTTGGATGATTGACGTTCCTTTGGATGATTGATGATTGATGATTGATGATTGATGAGTGACGTTCTGCCTTTGGATGACTGACGTACTACCTCTTTAGGATCAAAATGGCGTCTACGTCTTCAGCAACAAATTCCCCGCCAACTGCAAAGTGCCCCTGATCGCGCCCCGCGACGACACCGGCCCATTCGTCAAAGCCCTCGTCAGCCTGGACCCAGGCAAGAATCTCCTGGCCTACCGCGAGACCCTAACCTTCGCCGAGTACGCCGACGTCTGGGGCCGCGTCCTCGGCGTCAAGACAAAGTATGTCGCCCTCGGGCCCGACGAGCCATGGGGAGCCTTACCGGACACCATCAAGCTCGATATCGAGGAGGGCGTGGGGTATTTTACCGAGTTTGGCGCCGACGGAGGGGATCCGTCGGTGGTCCATCCTAAGGATGTAAGTCAGACCTAACACCTACCCCTACCCCTAACCCTAAACCTAAAGCTCTGAATCTGAATCTGAATCTGGATCTGGATTTGAATCTTCCCCGGACCTATGTGTTATGTGATATTATGCTGGAATGATGCGCATCGAAGCCATGCTGACGGATCTACTCTACCTTAGCTCGGTGTCCCCATCGACCTGGGTACGGTGGCCGACTGGATTGGAAAACAGGACTGGAGTGCTGTCTTGTGAAGCGGGGGGATAGACAGAGAGACAGACAGAGAGACTGATACTGCAATATGATGTGAAAACTGAACTGCCTCTAATTAGGCCAACCTTGGGTTCCTTGGTCTCTAATCTATCTTACCGTGTACCAATACCAATGCCTAGGTAGGTGCCTATGAGGGTACAATACCAATGCCTAGGTATGTGCCTATGAGGGTGAGGGTATATTACCACGTACGTAATAAAGGAGAGTCTGTCTGTCTCTCTGTCTGTATCCGTACTCCGTATTACGTTGGGCTTAGGAGGCTACAGTACTAAGCGCCCCCACCAGCATGTTCAGCACCCAGGTGGTCCGGCATGAAGAAGGCTAAGGGGCGTCGAATTTGTCCTCCTCCAGCTTGCGGATGAAGGTCTTCAGGTGCGATGCAGTGGCATATGCTAATATCAATACTAAAACCAATATTAATACTAATACCAATACCAACATTCATACTCATACTCATACTCATACTAGGCTATGTCGGTGCTGGTCCTGGCTGGTGCTCGCTTCAACACTGTAGATGTCTGTACTGTCCATCCTGAACATGGTATACGTATCCATCCATCCAGTTCGCCAGCCAGTTCGCCCACCTGTCCGCCCACCAGTCTGCCTGTTTCTTCGTAACATCATCGGACACCATAGAGGGTATCATATGCTGCTGCTACAGCTGCAACTACAGCCCGTTTGGTATCCAGTCATGAAGAGTCTTTTGACCCTTCCTTGCCTGCATCGCTACTCCTCTCCCATCGCGCCAGCACCAGTTCCAGTTGCAGTTGCAGTAACAGTAGCACTGGCCCCTCTAATAGTGGTCACGGTCGTGGCCGCCGTCGCCGTCGCCGTCGCCTCCATGACTTGCCGGATATCTTCCAGCCGCCTTTGAAACCGCTCAATCATCTCCTCCATGCTCTCTTTGACCCCGCCTGGCCCGGCATCGCCCGGCATATTTCCTCTCCCTTGGATGCGGAGCATGAGTCCGTCGTCTTCACCCGCCGCGCCACTTCCGCCTCCGTCCCCAATCGTCGGCGCTGTTGTGATGGTCGATCGGAGAACCTGCCAATCGGCGCTGAGGCTCTGCGCTGATGTGACCTCGTACGCAGACCCTAGTGGTGGAACCGATTCATCGTGCGAGTGCGAGTGCGAGTGCGAGTGTGATTGCGACTGTATTTCGGGAAGAGGTTGGGTCCTCGGCTGCACCTCGAGAATCAGATAGTGTTCGCACACGCCGGCGATGGGTGGCGGCAGGCGAGGGTGGTGAGCATCATTTTCGTCGTCCTCCTCCCCCTCCGCCTCCTGCTCCTGATGAGACAGTGCCCTTACGCGGGGTTGTATCTGCGTCTGCGACGTCGGGCGTTGCGACGGGTCCAAGGCCTGGAGACTCCGGCAAGCTGCTTCTGCTATGATTTCCGAGTCGTCGTCGGCAAAAACGTAGTGGACTGTGGGATGGTAGTGTTCGCTGGTCACGCTGTCCTCGATCAAGGTGAAGAAGGGCTGGAAGGACGGGATGGTGATGGATTGGCCATCGTCCTGGCCGAGGCCATATTGTTCCGACTCGATGGCATGCTCCTGCTCCTGCTCGTGCTCGAAGTCGACATTGGTCAACCGCGGCGAATATGGAGACTGGTACGATGCAACGATGGGATCGTCTTCAAAGTGTGGTTGCGGAAGGCCACGGGCAGACGTTACTATCGAAGGGTTGGGGTTGGGGTTGGAGGTCGGGTTCGGGTTCTGGTTCTGTGGTCCGCTGGTCCGCCGTAAGGACGACTTTGAAATGGACGGCGATGAGGTCGAAGGCGGTGCGGTTTGTCGGGGCTGGGACATGTCCAGGTCGGGTTGAGTCTGGATGACGCTACATTATGAGAGCCATGGTGAAGGAGAGGAGAAGCGATAGACTGCGGTACAGATACTCGGGCAATGGATAGTAGGCAAACACTGCTAAGTGACTGCAGTACTACATCACCTAGTATGTGGCAAGGTGACGCCGCCCTACAGAGTTGAGCTCACTAATGTAGATACTTAGTACTTAGCGCCACGATAAGATAATCACTAATCAATATATTTGATTAGATAAGATACGATATATTTTTTTATACGGCGGATCACGGGCGGGGATTCCTAAGCGAGCAAAGCTGGAAATCATATGTCGACGTCTTCAACGTTGACTCATTCTTGCTGTTAGTCTATTCTCTGCTCCTTCCGCTTCCTCGTCTTGATTTTGGTTGTTTATTGTTTGCTTCTGCATATAGCACTTTTGTAATACAATGGATGGGAAAAAAGTCGTCGTGGTCGGTGCTGGACCGGTTGGTTCGTTGGCGGCTTTATACGCCGCCTCCCGTGGTGCCACAGTCGAGGTGTATGAGCTCCGGGATGGTAAGCCCCCCCTTCGACCTCTAGACTCATACCGGCATCATCTTGGTGATGTGGCGTTTCACGAACCCAACTGACCTGTCCTATGTCAGACCTCCGCAACCTTGAGACCAGTCCACTGAACTTCACAAAATCTATCAACCTGGCCCTGTCCGAACGAGGAATCAATGCTCTCCGGTCGACCGGGAACGATGAACTCGTGGAGACTGTCTTCCAGAACACCATTCCGATGCATGGTCGGATGATTCACACCCGGTCGGCCACCGGAGCCCTCACCGAACAGTCACAGCTTTACGATGTTCATGGCCGATATCAGCGTTCCGTCGACCGTGGTGTGCTGAATGGCGTGCTGCTCAACTACCTGGACGCTCTACCGAATGTCAAAATCTTCTTTCAGCATAAGTTGACTGGCGCCGACTTTCGGAAGAAAGAAGCCTGGTTCGAAGTCATGGATAGGACCGATGGCTCCAGCTCAACCCGCCCGAAAGAGATTGCCGTCACCTTCGATTTCCTCATTGGAGCCGACGGAGCCCATTCATCCACCAGGTTTCACTTGATGAAATTTGCTCGAGTAAACTATCAACAGGAGTATATTGATTGCCTATGGTGTGAATTCACAATGCCACCTACCAGATCAGGGGACTTCGCCATATCCCCGAATCACCTCCACATCTGGCCGGCGGCGAGTTTCATGTTCATCGCTCTTCCCAGCACGGACAAGTCGTTTGTGTGCACCCTTTTTGGACCGGTTGACATGTTCGTCAAGCTGGAAAGCGCCCCAGATGCAGAGCTTGTCTCTTTTTTCGACAAGCACTTCCCTGGTGTGACGAGTCAGCTCGCCCCGAACGATCTGATCGCCCAATTCAAGCAGCATCCACACCTGCCACTCATCAATATCAAGTGTTCTCCACATCATTTCGGCGACAGTGTTGTCATTCTCGGTGATGCTGCCAATGCCATGGTCCCTTTTTACGGCCAAGGCATGAACGCCGGAATGGAGTCGGTGAGGGTACTGTTCTCCAAGCTCGATGCAACTCCAGACCGAGCCCAAGCACTCGCCAACTATACCGAGGAACGAACCAAAGACGCTCACGTCGTCGCTGACCTGGCACTTGGCAACTACACCGAGATGCGATCGTCTGTCACGTCTCCTCTGTACAAGTTGCGGAAATATATCGAGGAGAGGCTGGACAAGTATGTCCCCAGTCTGGGCTGGGCTACCCAGTATTCGCGGATAAGCTTCAGCAACATGAGGTACAGCGAGGTCATCAAGTATTCACAGCGCCAGAAACGCATCCTTACGGCCCTGTTGTTAGTGGTGGCCGCAGCAGCTATCACAGGCCCAGTAGCTGCCATCTGGCTCTACGTTTTGCGCCACTCTCGACACCGGCGCAGAGTTCTTTACCTCTGGGTCCGCGAGGTCAAGTGGTAGCCAACACATGCTCTATGAGGGCACTTGTTCCGAGCACATGTCTCTTGTCGTCTCTCACCTCACTCTTGGATTCAGATTTACTTGGCAACTTTCCGACCCCTTCTCCTCCCTTCCAGATTCGTCGTCGGTCAGCTTCACTTCGCTCTGTACGCCAAGCCTTGCGTCGCTCAGCTAAGAACTCCAGTCACGGGTATATCTATCGGCGTTTGGCTCCGAAGATGGTCGCACCATTATATTATCACCCTCATATCCCGTACCTCAGGCCTTTCAGCGTGTATACAATGCCAGGCAGACGTGTCGAGATTAAGCGCAAACATAGTGGGTTCGTCGTCCCGAGCTCGGTATGTCCCAGTCCAAACCCTCCTCAACCCAAGCTGCCTGTACTAACGATGTCCAGATACTGACACCGGCCAAACAGGCTCGCAAAGTAAGACAGCGACGCAGGAATGCCATGCCCTTTGATACCAAGAAAGCAAAGTTTTCGGCCTTGCCCAACGAGATCCTGTTGATGGTCTTCAGCCACCTTGATGTCCCCTCGCGTATCACCTTGGGCCTCACCTGCCGGTTTTTCGCCGCTATGTCACAATGCGTGCCTACGGATCTCAACGACAAGCCCTCAGTAGTGAAGTACCACGCGAAATGCCAAAATCCACCTTGCCTCTATGCCAACCACATATCGGATCGGCGCATTCTCCTTCTCCAGATCAAGAACTGGATGCCGCGTGGCTACCGTCTTTGCTGGGTGTGTCTCAAATATACCAAAATCGGCAGAAGCGCCGGACACCGCTGGCATTCCACAACACGCGTGCGCTTCGACGGCTATTGTCGACTCAACCTGCCCGCGACTGATGGTCTTCGAGAAATCCATGCTCACCGCGACTGTTCTCGTTCCGGTCCGGACCTTCACTGGTGGGCTGTCGCCAATCCCGGGGCTGCTGGTGGTTTCATTCGGTCCAATGGATCCGTGACCCCATCACCATCCGCCCATATCTACAATGCGGGCTTTTGACTGTCTATGGACCGAACCCCGATGACAACGCATGGGACTTGTTGGAACGAATGCACGAAGGACCTTATGGAATGCAGGTGGTCAAAATCGAGTGAATGAACGAACGACCTTATGACGGAATGTGGATGGTCAAAACCGAATGAATGCCCAAATGAGTATTTGGTCTTGGCGTGTGGTCAACTGGGATGAAAGAACATTGTCACGAAGAACTCGGGCTCTTGACTTGGCAGAACTGAACGCCTCGGCCAGGGATCCGCATGTATGTTTTAGAGTATACGGCACTTCGGTACGGGCGTCGACTACTCAGTATGAGTGCTACAGCATAACGACCGACCGAGAATTGTGAGCTGATGTCGCTGGAGGACAGAACAGCAGCCAGAGCATGCCTATGAGGACGGGGACACGAAACCAGAGCTCACGTCGACGATTGTCGCCCTCAGAGCTTATTATTGTCGCCGTCGGAGCTCATTGCCATCGACCATCGACTATCGACCATCGACCATCGACCATCGACCATCGACGAGGAGCTTTCAGGGTCGAATGCCAGCCAATTCCAATTCCGCAAGTCCGCGAGGGCAAAGGCACCGACTGGAAAGAGACGAAAACCAGCTAATGAGCATAGCATAGCGTAGCATAACATAGCATAACATAGCAAAGCAAAGCATAACATAGCAAAGCAAAGCATAACATAGCAAAGCAAAGCATAACATAGCAAAGCAAAGCATAGCAAGCATAGCATAACTAGCGTCACGATCAATCCAACAGAGCTTACACCTCGAGCTTGAACCTCTAATTAGTGACTTGAGAGATCTTGATTGGTCTTGATTCCATTCTTCATTCATTGATATCATGCCCTCATCCTCGGTCTCATAACCATCATGCTTGACTTCTGACTTCCTGTGTGCATGCGTGCGAGAGTACATATATACATACATGCTGTGAGCACGACAGATAAAAGGGAAAGGGCCGGGAAAGGGCCGGGAAAGGGCACACCCGGTATCCGTACTGTGAAAAGGAAAACTCCAAACCCAACAAACGAACGCCTCCTTAGCCCCGTCGCCATGCGCAAATGCGTATCGTGTCGTATGATAAACGCCTCGCTCTCTCGTCGTCTTTGATATGCTGCTAACCATAACACTAATACTAATCCAGAACCTGCACCTCATTCTCCCCCTTTTCGCCGTCCTTGTCACCTTCGATCATGAGCGTTCTCCGGTCAAGCCGGTTGACCGGTTTGAACTGGTACCAGCAGCTCGGGGCCTCGAGAACATAGCGATTCATGGCCTCGCGGAATCTTCGCTTGTATTCCTTCGGGCTGGTAACGGTGGGCCTGTTCTTGCCGCCTCTAGCGAATCCTCGATCTTTGATCCAACTCTCCAATTTCTTGTCCCACGTGTATGTGCGGATACAGTCAATGATCCCGACCACGAGTTCCTTGCGCGTTTCGTCGATCGCAAGCATCAGACTGTAGTCCATGACATTCTGGCGCGCCAGGAAGAGTGTGTCGTTGTGGACGGATGACCGGATGAGCTTCTTGCTGTGTTCGCGGGTGAACAGCGGTGACTCGTAGATGAATTCGACCATATTTTCGTCGAGAAGGACTTCATTCTTTTCGCCCGTGGCGTTGATCTTGCGGTTCCGCATACTTCCCTTCAGATCGAAGATTCGGGTGGGAATGCGATCATAGAAGAGGTTTTCCATGAGGACGAGGAACCAGTTGTATTCAAGCCCGGTGACAGGATTCTTGATGATGATCTGGTAGAAGCCCAACATCTTGGCAATGACGGACGGTAGTTCGTGGAAGAAAGCCTCGGACATGATTTGGAAGTAGTTGGGCGCAAATTTGAGGAAGGACTGCGTCTCGATCGGTGACAGGGACTTCAAAACGAACCGATCGTCCAGGGTCTTCAGGAAAATGGACTTGGTCTTGCCGCCTTTGGAATCCCACTTCATACATCTAGACAGGGATTCCACGATCCGGTCGGCGACACCACATTTCCGCCGTACTGCGTCGAATTGCTCGGCAAAGAATATCTTGCACAGCATTTTGGCAGGCCCTTCTTGGAATTGGTATTTCAGGTGGGTTCCCGTCTTCCGCAAGAGTGAATGCATGACATCAGCCTGCAAGTCGTCGGCATGATCGTGTCCGCTCAGGCCCGTAGCAATATTGTCGCGGATAGGGCGGTTCTGCATGTCATGCAACATGGTCTTGTAATCTTGTGAGTCCAACGCAAACGCAATGATAGAACTTGGCTCATCCTCACGGACAATAATGTCACAATCTGCGAAGATATGTTCAGATCCCCCTAGGGGATATTCCAAGGCCGTCCAACCACTCGAGGAACGTTCCGCCCAGAAGTTGGTCAATATCTTCATCAAGGAAGTCCGTTCATGCTTGGGCAGTTCTTTGAGGTCCACGTCGTCTTGCGACCTTCGCAGGAGATCCTCTGGGGACTCCGGCAACTGGACATGTTCTGACATCTCGTCGTTGTCACTTCGATCTTCATTTTCAGAGGCTGCATGACTTGAGCTTCGAATGTCGGCTTCATTTTCAGTGGTGTCTGCCGGTATCTCCTCGACGTCGGAATCCTGGTCGGCCCCTCGGGAAGCCGTGGTCTCTGCCATTCCTTGAGCTGTATCTGCTGTCTTTCCGGCGTCATGCACCGAGTCAAGATCTAGACCGAAGACGTCATCCGAATCACCTCTTTCATCCACCGCTTCATCGACATCCTTGTACACTTCAACAATGGGCCTCGAGACGGCCAAGGGATAGACGCGAGACTGTCTATTCCGAGCAGCCCGAAGTCTGCGTTCTCGAATGCGCTCCCTCTCGAACTCGCGGCTCAGCTGTTCGAAGTGCTTGGCTAGATTCGAAACACGTGATTCCTTGCGCGTGTTGATGGCTCGGGGAATCAGGGAGTGTCCCTTAGGGAATGTGTTCTTCTTCAGTTGGGAAATTCCCAGTCGCTCAGACAGCTTCTTCTCAGGCACCTGTAGACTCGAATCACCGATGCCTGGAGATAAAGAAGACCCTTGTTTATTGTGGACTGCCGCGAAGCCATGAATTGCGTTGATGGCCGAAAGCGTGCTGGACGGGGCCTGTCCCACATTTTGCCGCAGAGTCACTGTGCCGGCTGGTTGAGAATGCGCGCGTGCCAACGTCGGCGATGTGGATCTACCATCATGGCTGCGCCGCGCGGTGCGAGGTGTGCCGAGATCGTTGGCGACAACTTGAGGCCTAATGACCGGTTGTATGCCTGAGGTTGAGGGGGGGATTCCAAGTGCTCTGGACGCTTCCCCTGTGGCAGGGGGTAAGATGTTGCCATCTTGTCCAACATCGGCACTTTTGGCATCAGTGGTGAGATCCAGAGTCGCCGCGGGTTGCATACTGAATTCATCTTCCACCAGGGTTGGACGCTGACTCGGCGATGCTATTGCCAAGTCGAGATGCTTCACATCCTCTACATTCCTGGGTCCATCCAAGACAGAAGGTAGATTCTCTAAATCCGACCTCTTCAGATCCGAAAGTGCAGTCGACTTTTGCCCTGATGCAGGCGCGGTTGATTGCTCCTCCAAAACCGACTGAAGGACATCTTGCGTCTGCTCACGAGAAAGACTTGTGCCTTTTTCAAGCTCGTCGATTGACAATGGGGCTTCTGGTGATCCTTTTTCGTCAACCAACTCTTCAGTGGGAGCAGTTTCGGTGCCTTCATCCGTAGAGACCAGAGACGTAACAGAAGCGTCTCGTTCGAGAAAGATCTTCCGCAGTTGCAAAGCGGCCAGTCGTCGGATATCTCTCTCGGAGGGAAAGAAGTTTCTCTCAAAATCAGCAAACGCATTGTCCCATTCAGACACCTTTTCCTGTGTCGCGCGGAGGATACCATTGAGCGGTATCGTCTCCCAGTAACGCGAGTTGGTGTAGCGCTCTTGAAGTTGTTTGATAAGATTCGCATGCTCTTCAGTGGCTCTCTTGGTCAATCGGTCGATCTCAGCTCGGCACGCCTCGATGGTTTCGGGGAGAACGGCGTCCAGATTGATATTCTTCAAGCGAAGTTTGACAGACACCATGAATCGGGTGATCCGATGCTCCAACCGGGTATAGACCTCATTGCGAAACTTCAGGTCATTGTCCACTTTCCACGTGATCCTCATTCTCGGAACGATAATCTCAAGTAAATCGATGGGATCGTAGTGGACACGAAGCGCGAAATCTTTGTAGCCAAAGTACCTCAGATGATCCCGGTGGAGATCGTGCGGACATATGCCTGCACGAGCATGCAAATCCGCGCTCCAAAAAGACAGTTCAAGATACTTGCCAAATGAATATTTCCAGGTGCTCGACGACATGGGCGTGACGGTGGTCTCAACGCCACAGATCTTGCATTGACTCCACATCAGGATGACATCCTGAAAACCGCGCATTTTGGCCGGGTATGGCTGAACAAAAACAGTGATTTGTGCTTCTCCGTGAACATACTGCCGATGATGTTCATACATTTTTCTTTCACAGGCTTCCGACTGGCAAATCTCGTTTGCCTGATAACATAAGTCCTCCACGTATTGTCCGAGAGTGCAATCTGCTTCGAACTCGGCCTCGGTCTCATGTTCATTGTAGAAGCTGAAGGCAAGAAGGTCTGGCCCGGAGCAAGGAACAGACGTTTCGGTGGAGACTTGGCTGAACAGGACAACAATGTTTTGATGAGCATAAGGGTCGAACAAGTTGCGATTCCCGGACAGATATGTTTCCCATTGCTTCTTCTGAGTTTCGTAGTTGTGCAGGGCCTTGTCGTATTCGGCATCGTGGACAGCGTGAATGATCTCTCGAACCTTCTTGCCGGCACCAGCAAGTGGTCGATGCACCATCTCCGGCTGAATCAGAGTGAATTTCGCCGCCTTGACTTTGTCGTCCATGGTCTGTTCAGCAGACAGGTCTTGGTCTCGAAGTCTCTTCAGATAGGCAACACGCCTCTCCAGCTCCCGCGCACGCATCAGGAGATACGGTTGGGCAAACTTGACAAATGGTGATGCAGACAGGATCCGGGTTTCGTGCTTAAGCACAAGGTCTTCATAAAACATGGGCACGGGAATGTCATCCGGAATAGGCACCGTGTCTGTGCCGTCCGCCCCGACAGCTGGGAAGGGCTCTGCTTCCTTCTCTGAGGTGATGACCTCTGCATTGGAGACGTCGGCATAGTCTTTGCTGTATTCTTCGGCTTTCGAAATGTGTTCATCAGCGTTCTTGGAAAGCGCGTCACCATCGCTGCCGGGTGGGAAGTTCTTGGTCATCAAATTAGCCGGTGTTTTGCTCGTGTCTGAATGCTTTTCGGATAGAGCCGTCGGGATCAGAGCCCACTCATCCCTCATCAAACATGTTTCAAGCTTCAGGTTGTAGACCACATACACCGTAAATTCGGTGAGACGTTTGATCTTGGCCAGCGTTTCTCGATCCGCACCCCTCAGTGCGATTGTACAGCCGAGTTTTGGAGGACAACCTGTGAGGTAGACATATGTCTTCTTCCTCCCATTGGCCACAAAAGTCTTGATTTCGAAGGATTCGCAACTGCCCAACGGGTCTGGTTGCGAGGTGAGTTTGTCCATCGAATGGGCAATTCGAGCTTGCGTACAGCGTGAGACAGCCTCCAGAACCGATGATTTCACATTGTAAATGGTGGTGATGTTGGCTTTGTCAAGAAGCTCAAGTGCGAGGCCTGATACATTGCGCTGGGCCAAGAGGACATCCGGTTTCAGGGCAGCAATCCGGCCGACGAGGTTCGCCAGGTATTCCTTTTCTTGCCTAATGACGGGATCAAGACTCATAAAGTGTTGTTCGTGCCTTGCGTACTCCAGCGCGAAGGTGATGATCAAGATCTTCGGGTTCGAGTGGGAGCGTGCCATGCTCTTCAAGGCCACATTTTTGGTGAATATGAGTCCAGAGATGTACGCCGTATCGCCAGGCTTGCCACCTGGAATCTTCTTGAGTTTGACGTAGTTTCGTATGTCAATGTCGTCGCCGCCCTGAACGTCAGGGTCCACGTCGTCAGTAGCCTTGAGCAATATCGGGATGAGGGCGTCTTCCCAACTTGAAACTTTCGGGACATTGGCATCTTTCAAAAGCTGCTGAAGGAGCTTGTGTACGTGCTGGATGCTTGCGCGATTGAGTTCCATGGGCGGAGCAGCTACACCACGCATCGACGCACTTCGAATCATTCTTGAACCACCCCGATAACCGTTCGAGATATCTGGAGAGCCGGCCTGCACATCTTCCTGAGCTCCAGGGATGATTATATGCAAGCGTTCCCTGGTTGTTCTGGGGGTCCCACGCTGATGAATACTGCTCGAGACACTCAAGTTGCGCTTCCGAGAATTTCTGAGCATATCAATGTTGCGGGAGCTGGCAACACTCACATCATCGGCATCACGTCCTAGGCTCAGAAATCCAGCAATACTGCGATCTCCAATGCGTGAACGTCCTTTGCGGACAGCGGCGAGAAGACCTCCTAGGGTGGATTTGTCACTCTCATGTCCACTCCGTGACAGCTTGTCGGGGCTGCTCAGAACTTCGTTGAGCGATTGCTCGTCTTCGCTAGAAGGGTCGTCTGATAAGTACTGCGCGAGGTCGGGATCGATAATACTGTCGCGATGGAACGCGGAAGCTTTGCCCTCTTTGAGAGTCTCTTCAGCACCACGACGTTGGAACGGGGCTCGGTCTTCGTGATAAGCCTTGAAGTTCCGTATATGCTGATGCCGTGAATGATGTCGCTTATGGCCGTGGCCTATGGAATGGCTCGCCTTCAAAGACCTCGATGAAGTGGGTCGGGGTAGTGGACGGTCAGTTGTGTCGAACTCGAGTACTGCAGAAGTCCGATCGGCACCTTCAAAAGCTCGACGGACGGGAAAGCTCATGGTTGGAGTCTTGGCCATTTGTTCCAACGACTGCGAAGTCACCGACACATTGTCATCCTCGAATCGAGCGAGCGAACCTCGGTGCGACAAGGGCTCTGGAGTATACGGACGAGCGGCAGTGTCGATTGGAGCCGACTCCTCTATTGAATAATCGGAGGAATCATCATCATGAGACGTAATGATGGATTCACAGGGCTTGCAGACCCTCACAGCACTGTTGGCACCAAAATAACTTCCGCTGATGAGGACCGTGCATTTGTTGTCGAAGATCTGGCCACAGGTGCGACAGTGGTGTTTTCGGCGAAATGTAGTGAAAGGCTCTCCGCAGTGGAAACAGTCTTTTGCATTAACGTCTCGCATCCAATACTCCTTACTCAATAGCTTGCTACGCAGCTTGTTGATAGGCCGTGCCTGAGAAGCGTGGTCGTCTGCATTTTTGGCTTTGTCACTCAAAGGACGGGTCTGATCAGTGCGGTTGATTGATGAGGCAAGCGTGGAATCTGACGACGACGTCCGAGAAACTCGGAACCCGGGTAATTTTGATTGGCTTATCTTCGGAGCCGGTTTAGGAGGAGGCCTTCGCTCTAGAGTACTCGGGAGCGGAGATATCAGGCTAGGCGCTTCCGAGGCTTTGCCGTGAGGAGCCGACACAGCTTTCGATAAGTTTGCAGGGTTGTCTGCCAAAAGGTCCAGTGGGTTGGCATGATGCTTCTGGTGAGGCGCAGTGTCTTGTCGATTGGAAACAACTCGGGTGAGAGACCTCTCATCTTGCAAAGACCCAAGGGCTTGAGTAGGCAGGGTATCTGACTGACTCAACTGGGTCTGTACCGATGTAGACGATAAGCCCCTTTCATGAGAAGGTGGAAGAGTTCGAGAATTTGGCCTTTGACTGGCTGTCGATTGGGGAGAAGTGACAAGCCGACTTCCTCGATCAGCTGTAGCTCCCTCGTTGCCTGGCTTGGAGAAAGCCCTCCGCAGACTGTCGCTGTCTCCCGAGGCGGCCAGACTCCTTTCTTGGGCCGGGGAGTCCAGATCAAATCCCGAACCTGTTCTCGAGTGACTCGCAGAGCTAACAGCATGTATGTTGACAGACGTGACCGATGGATCAGCCAAAAATGATGAAGGTTGAGGTGGGCCAGTCGGTGACTTTAACGCAGGGGTTGAGGGCACCGAAACTTTGCTCACGCTTGCAGCTTTGGAGGACAGCTTCGAAAACTGTAGGGGTGCATCATTTGCGGCAGGAGATTCAAAGGCATTCAGCCGGGGCGACTGCGCCTTAGATGTGAGAGCGGAGCCAGACTTCGAGCTGGCACGATCATCGACATGGAGTATCGCAGCGTGTCCTTCATGCTGTTCTTCCACATCCTTCGCGGTTCCCACACTTGCGATCAGTTTGTTGTATAGCCCTGAGATGCCACCTTGTATCTCCTCCGCCAAGGTTTTATTTTCCGCATTCGGGCTCGATGCCGGCGGATCGGTATACTCGTTGAAGACGGTCAAGTTGTTAGATTGCGATGCTGCGTTGTGGATTGTGTCCAACGCTTCATTGAGGGCATCTTGGTCTAGTTCCTGTGGCAAAGAGGATTTCGAGTCCCGACGCGCTCGTCGACCGAGTGGAAGGAAGATAGAGGAGGCGGAAGGGCTCGGATTTTCCTGGTTGGTGGAGGGCATGGCAGTTCAGTCTGGCGGTCCTGGTGGCCATGGAATGAGTGACGATGTTCACATGGCTTCATGCTCGTGGGATTTGATTTTCAGCAAGTCAGATGCAAGCGGCGTTGTACATATACCGCCAGTTGGGCATGCGGAGGCCGCTGGGAGAGTTGTTCGTTGACAGCAGTCAGCATGCGAGCACTGCTGTCGTAGCCGGTAGTACTAATACTATTCCCTTCCCTAGTACGGAGTAGGCAGCCTTGGGAGCCATACAAAGTTCCCTGCGCTGCCCACGTCATCCTTGGCAGTCGCGTCGACGCGGTCTACGGTCTGCGGTCTGCGGTCTGCGGTCTTCCCCACACCGCGATCTGTGGAACATCAAATCATTCACGCTGCGATCGTCAGGCACTTTACAACAGGCACGTAACAGCGAACATTACTCATTACTCACCTACAAACCCTCCAGTCTCACCCTCACTCCAAATCCTACTCCTACTCCTACTCCTGATCATGTTTGTCGAGCACAGATGGAGCGTCACGAACCGTGGCTGGGAGCCTTTATCTCCTCTAGCCTAGCCCGATGGCTTCAGAGCAAACGAGAAGGGCGACCTCTGGATGGATATTGCTGTAAGGCTGATGACACCAACCTTACAATAGGTGATCTGAGAAAGCCCGAAAGGCTTCTCCGGATCCTGACGGTAACTAAGCTGCCTCGATGGTTGGTGCGATTGTTAACATGCAGCAGCCTCCATCACCATCACCTCGGTGGCCTAGAAGCAAGGTCTCCGACGGCAAACACCAGATCCAAGCAATATTCCTGGAAGGCGCCGCTGCAATCATTTCACGAATCTACTCGCAATCGACCTCCGATGGCGGCCGAATAGTGGCTATCCGAGTCAAGGACCCTCTCATCAACATTACTGTCCATTGCGATCCTCCGAAGGCTGAATTACATATCAATTCGGTTGAGATTGTGAACATCGGGAACGATACAACCGGCACACTACCTGTTGGCTCAACAGTCCTCGAAGACAAGGTAGTCAGACGCACTCTAGCTCAATACGGACTTTTCAAGTCGGACCGCGGGAGGGACGGGATTACAATGGCGAGTAGCCCTCAGTCCATCAAATCGCAGGCAGGATGCAGTCCGATCCAGGATAGGAACATCGCACTTCAGGATGACATACCACCGTCTCAATCGCAATTCTGGACCCAAATTCACGGTGCAGCACGGCGAACTGAACATGATTCAGCAACTACCGTTGTGACCAGTGACAACACTCCTCTTCTAAAGTTGTTGAAGGCTCCAACGCTAAAGGATGCGGCAGCAAAACCCACCCTCTTTACTAGCCAGGCCCAAGATGAGGATGAGAATTCACTAGCTTCGCTAGCAGGAGTAGAGAAACCTGAAGAGCTAGTTCCAATCGCTCCAGAAGTATCCTTCAAAACCGCCACCCCTATCGTTTCTGCACCTCTTCCCGATCCTTTGATAAATCAGGCAAAGGATGAAGGAATCGAATTGGTCTCAAATCACACTATTTCTGGAACAAAGTCCAAGTCCCATCAGTTGCAGCCGCCAGAGTTAAGCGGTACTTCAACCCACCCACAGCAAAACATCTCTCCAGCTGTTTCAAATGAACAGTTCCGGCATTTTCAGCGGTGGCGCCAGCAGGCAAGAGCAGGAAAATACGTGCCGAGATACATTCAGATGATTCCCAAGGATCAGGAGAAACTCTTAGTATCTAGCGATAGCTGGCAACCGCCTCTTGTTGGCCACCCGATAATACCGGGACAAGTACCGACGCTTCTTCTGGAACGCCTGACCGATGCTGCTGATAACCCAGAGGCTGATAACCCAGAGGAAGCGGGTGTCATTCCGGAACCTCCGCCGAGTTCACACGGTAATGAGGACCAAACAAACACCGACAATGATGCAAGTAACGATGGCCCATCTGACAGCGAGGCGGAAGAAAACTCCAGCGAGACTGACGCATCGCCTGTTTCATGGTCTCCAAGTCCTACACCTGAACAACGTAGGATGGCATTGCCTCCAGATAGTCCACCGGTGCTTCTGCACCAGCTGAATCGAAACATGAAAGACCTAGGCCCTCCTTCCCGGCAGGTTGACGAGTCAGGCACACTCGAAAAACAATCAATGGCTCGTGCTGGTGACTCTATGGATGCTGACTGCAAACCCGGTGGTCAAGTTTGCGATCTAAACGAATCTTCATTAGAAACACCGCTGGCCAGTATGGAACAAATCGGCTCCGATCCCCTGGGTCAGCAGATCCGACCACACACGCAACCGGTCCAGGAAGCCGGGGATGATGAAATGGACGCTGGCCAACTGGACGAGCTTGCTGCTCTCCCGACGAACCCAGTACTAGTCTCCAGTGCGAAGGTGGTGCAGGTTGAGCAGACACCATATTTCCGGAGAGGATTCAGCCATGAGCGACTCGAATCCGCACTCACGCATAGTAGATCACAAGATGCACTGCTAAGCAACGATCACTGGATATCATCAAGCTTCATTCCAGGATCTGTCGACGAAACAGCGCCTGTGGGTTATCTACCTTCGACAAAAGGGTTTAACCTCCGTGGAATGGCCCAAGGACATATGCCGGAACTGGGGAGAATAGATGCTACTGGTAGGGACAGCGAACCAGATCTCAGGGCGGACCGAAGTCAGACTATACATGCAGTTGGGACTTTGGAGCTCGTCAATTGTGAGGATCAATCTACGACATACCTGGAAGAGCAGACAAACTCCGATGGCCGTACGAATGGTTCCAAAAAGCTCGATGTCCGAGATCGTCCAGCGGAGGCCCCTGGGACCACATCAGGACACCACGGTGATTCTGTTCTCAAATCTGGGGACAAGGACAGTCTCCAGCGTCGCGGGCTTTCAGTGGACTTGGATCCACAACCACTGAACGAGGGGCTCCGAAGGCCCAGCCCATCTCTGACAGTTTCAGAGCCAGGGTCCAATCTAGGCTCGCTTACAGCGAGGAAGGAGAAGCAGTCCCAAGTCAAGAGGAAACCACCGGGTGTCGAAGGCGTGGGTCGCCCAAACAAAAGACCACGGACAGAGACGACCGCTCACGATAACAATGTGCCCGACGAGGACTACGACGCAGTATTCCCAAAGCTCAGAGAGTATCGCCGAGAGACTTTGCCATCCTTGAGCAAGCCAAAATTCTCCAGAGTTCATGCAGCCTCGTCATCACCGAAAGACCCTGGCGGAGACGGTGACGTGTCCCGGGTGAGAGCCATTCCTTCTCCCGCCAGAGGGCAGAACGTGACACCAGGATCGGCCGTGGCATCACGAACCTCCTCCTCGACACCACTCACCCGCATGTCCACATATAATGAAATCGAACAGACGGAGGTCAGGACTCTACGGCGTGAATCCGATTCCGCAATATCAGATCTTTCTTCTCGTGGCCAGGAGATGTTGTTTTTCGATTTCAAGTCCGCTTACCCTGATTATGAGGGAACTATCAAGGATTTTACTGGATCATGCCGCGTGCTCAGCAAGATGATGACTTGTGGTCAAGTGCTGCATCCGTCTCTTTACGATGATGCCATCTTCCATCATTACCACAGCTACCGACGGTATCTGAGTGAGGAGGCGTTGAATTGCGCCGTGCCCCTACCATTCTATGACTTCTACAATGAGCGCGTTGACGAGCCATCTCACTCGCAAAGGATAGTGACCAGATCAGCTCTTCATTATATGCTAGGGAGTGGTGGGCCCTCTGATGGTGCCCTCAACAACATGCGAGAGCGGGGTGTTTTCCATCCTAGCACTTCGCCAGAGGTGGCTAGGGCAGAATCAAAGACGAGTAAAGGGAGGGTTTCTTCCACTCTCAGGCGTACCTCGGGACAAGATGTACGCGACGTTGATACACCTCATCGGCCCAGGGATGCTGTGGAGGAATGGCGTCAAGACGCTTGGGGAACAGCATCCCCTGAGCTTGGAACGCCTGACATTGACCGAAGCTTGTCGGATATCCCTGTTCTAGACATATCGGTCGACGACAACCAGAGTCCAGCATCTGGATCCGCACCTGCATCTGCATCAATGGGCATAGGAACGGGCATGGGTCCACCGCGAGGGTCCAAGAAACGCAGTCTTCCGTGGGATCCGAAGGTGGTGGAATCAAAGGGAATGCCCAAGAGCAGAAGCTCATTGGCATCGACGCCTCATGTTTCTAAACGACCAAGACTCTCAGCTAGTCCGTTTGTGAGACCGGCAAAACCAGCGGCGGCCACGGTCAAAGCACAATCACAGCACAGGGAGAAATCTCAGTCAGGTGTAGGGGCAGGGACAGGGGCAGGAGGAGCGACGAAGATGGGACCAAATTGGTGGAAGGACACAGACACGCCATTCAAGAGATTTATGGATGGTTATTCCCGGTTGAAATCCAACAAACAAGAGTTCAGTTGGGATGCCATTGGACTTGAGAAGCCCCGGGTTGGAGGGATCGACCTTTTTGCTTGGAGGAGGTGAGGCCTTTCCTACTTCTACTACGTATACACGATGCAGTGGGAGACTTGGCTCAGGATGATTGCCAGATGGGTTTGTTATGGTCTGGTCTGGTCTGGTCTGGATACTTCTACTTCTTGATGATACCCATACCCCTAGAAGTTGAGGAACACGATACGATGGTTGGTTACTACCTACTATATCTCAGCGCCGTGTCTTTCCCGTCCTCGCTGCAGGATTGGACTGTGAATTCGTGAACTGAAACGCCCCAGTATGTACGGATAGTATGTAATGACTTGCGGACATCTATTTATGTGAACTGACAGTGTCAGTGTTTGTAGGTGATATAATATGTGCTAGGTGTGTACGGTACGTACTGGATTAACAAGAATTTAGGTCTAGGTCTGGTACCTATGTAGATCTTACTTGACCTGACCTGATATGACGTGATATGATATATATACCTAGGTAAGGGAAGGCAAATATGTACGTATGTATACGTAAGGCAAGGTAAATATATGTGTATATATGTATATATGTACTTTGTGGAATATTATTGTCATCGTCATTATAACCATTAAGAAGCCCAGCCCATGCTCTCAGCGATAAGGTGAGGTAGGTAGGTAGGTAGGTGTCTGGGCATCTGAGCTCATGTCGTCCAACTTTAACTGATCGATCTCCTCTGAGATGATCTCGTCCCATCCCTCCTATCCCATCCATCCCATCCATCCCATCACTAGGACAGCATAGGATTGGATATGGCAGGATTGGTTGGGATAGGAAAGAACAGGGTAGCTTTAGCCAGCTTCACCATCAGCACCACCCCTACCGCTCAGAGGCAGTGTCATGCGAGGCGATGCTGGCATGCCTCCTGAGTAGACTGGGGAGGATTTCGAGGCCCGTGCTGACGGGGCCGGCGGTAGGATTTACGGGTAGCGAGACATGTTCCGAAACAGTTTGTTGTTGTTCTTGTTGTTGAGATTTGGGATACAACCTCATGGCATCCTGGTTCGCGTCGAAAGTGGCTTTGGCGGCGCGGGCGACGTCGTCGGTGATGGCGACGGTGTAGGTGGGTGACTCGATGGAGCCAGCAGCAGGGTTACCACCGCCGGGAGGATAGATGGGGACATTCCGCACGGCGGACAAGACGGCACAGACGAACTTGGTGCGATGCTGCGAGCGCAGCAGGTCGGAGGCACAGTTGCCCTTGTGCTGGAAGTCGATGCGCAGCTCGAGCAGTTTCAAGTCTTGGACCTGGACGAGGTGTAGGTGGACGTCGGGGCCGAAGTCGCGGCGGTGATCGGGGTGGACGACGAAGGCGGCGAGCTGGGCGCGCAGGGCGTCGAGGTCGGCGAACGAGGTGCCGGCGGCGACGTGGACGGTGATCTGGTCGCGCAGGTCGCGCGAGCGGGTCAGGTTCTTGATCCACAGGCCGTTCAGGATGCTGTTGGGGATCTGGACCATCTGGCGCGACGACACCTCACGGAAGATGGAGTACAGCAGCGAGATCTTGACCACGTGCATCTCCTTGCCGTCGACGTTGATGCGGTCGCCGACGTCGTAGGGGTGTTTGATAAACACGGTGATGCACGACGCGAACAGCTCGCCCGCCGTGCTGGCGAACAGGAACGAACAGCCGGTGAAGGCCGACCACACCTGCGTGTAGTGCGTGGCCAGGTAGTTGGAGAAGAAGGCGGCGTAGATCAGGAAGATGAAGATCAGCACCACCACGCTCAGCACCCGGTCCAGCACCTTGATGGCGTCCTTGACGTTGCACGCGCCCTCCCAGATCGACCGGCGCTCCGCCGCCACCCGCGTCACCAGCTCGACCATCTCGTCCAGCGTGATGTCGCCGTTGCCGTCGGCGTCGATCTTGCGGTGAATGTAGGCGGCTTCTTGGGCCGCGCGCGCCGGGTCCGCCGCCGGCCCGACCTTGGACTCGAGCACGGCCGTGATGCAGGCCAGGTCGAGCGGCGTGTGGCCGAAATTCGTGAACGAGTTCCAGATGCGGCGGGCCAGGGCTTCGGCGCTGACGGGACGCTCGAGCGCCGCTTCGACCACGGGCCCGGAGGCGGTCGGATTGAGCACCTGGCGGCCGGCAATGTCGCTGACCAGATAGCCCAGTACCGAGGTGACGCGGTCGGCGGTGCTGCCGAGGTTGGTCATGAAGATGGCGGTCGACTCGTCGACGGGCTTGGGCCGGCCGTGGCGGTCCTTGCGGAAGCCGCGCGTGTCGTGGATGTCGAGGTCGTCGTCGCGGAACGCCGGGTGATTGTCGGGGAACCGCCGCCGCGACACGTCGTACATGGTCTCGATGGCGCGGCTGAGCACCTTGAGTTCTTTGATGTGGTCGTAGAACTGCTTGCCGTGGTAGTTGACACTGACCATCTGGATCAGCATCTTCTCCACCAGGTACAGCGCCGTCACGCCGATGGTGGCCTTGTTGACCTTGTGCAGCACGCTCAGCCAGTGGATCTTGCCGGCGTGCGCCGAGTGGAAGTCCCGGTCGAACGTGTAGATGAGCGAGAAGGACGCGATCGCCAGGATAGCCCAGAAGAAGAGCGACAGCGGGATCTCCACCGCCTGCAGCACCAGCCGGTACTTGCGCATCCCCTTGTGAATCGCCCCGGCTACCGTCTGGAACACAATCGGCACCAGCTGCGCCAGCAGTTTCGCCACCCACAGCAGCACCCAGACCACCTCGATCCAGATGAACAGGCCCAGGTAGTGGATGCCGTTGTCCACGTGGGTCTGGCTCTGCTGGTACACCGTCTCGGCCGTGTTGTTGACCACCGACGTGACGTTGCCGCTGCCGTTGCCGACCGAGGTGATGTTGGCCGTGTAGACCGGCGACAGGCTGGTGTCGCTGAACTTGGTGCCGATCTTGCGGCCCTTGTAGACCGTGGCGAAGAGGATGATGGGGATGGCCAGCAGGATGGCCACCGGCACAATGTAGACGATGTATCGGATCAGCACGTTTCTCGTCAGCCGCTGCCATTGGATCCCCAGCGTGGTCAGCCCTTCATTGTCGTTGTCTTTGTCGTATCCTCCCCGCGAGAAGTCGCTGGCTTGGTGGACAAACTTGGGAGGCACCGCAGCAGAGTGGAAGGAGGCGGCGCCGGCGTGGGATGATTTGCGGCCCCTGTCCGTCTCTGTGCCCGTCTCGGTCTCGAAGCTGGACGTGCCGAAAACCATGAATTGTTTCTCCTGCACGGTGGTGGTGGGGAATGACTTCTCCTTCTCCTGCAGCGGGGTCATGCCGTCCGCGGTTTCATGCACCGTGACGATGGCATCTTTGGAGGCCATTGTGGACACCGGTCGGTCTGGTCGAGGTAAAATGCGAATGCGAGGGATCGAAGGAGTGGTGGGGGTGAAGCAATCAAGAGACGCTCAGCACAGCAAGGAAAGGCAGGTGAGACAGCGAGGTGGCGCAATAGCAATCAGCCCGACCTCCAGACAGACAAAGGTCCCGGGTCCCCAGCGAGAAGGAGAGGAATGAAAAAGGAAGAGAACAATGTACGTACCGTGGCGACTGGGAGTATTAGTATTAGCAGCATGAATGGGAATGGGAATGGGATGAGGATTCTTCTCCTCCCACCTAGCTCGCCTATTCGCCTACTCACCTCTCGCCTCCATCACGGCTGAAGACTGAATATCGGAAACAGAAAACAGAAAACAGACATGCTCTAGTGGTAGTGGACGGGCGAACTGTGATCTAGACGCGGCCATGGCGAAGATGGGGAAGAAGTTCAGCAAGCCACAATGCCATGCAATAAAACTAACCAACGGTCAAACTCGTCAAATTCTGTACCTAGACTTGGCCTGCGCCCTAGGCTGAGAAGGCTTACAGTAGGGGCAATAGCCGCGGGCGGTGACAGGGAGCTACTGTAGGAGTACGAGTGCTGTATTTGCAGAGGACGGAGTGGTACTGTACTCCGTACAGTATGCGTTCCTTTGAACGGCTTAGGTTTGCTTCCACCTGTCATTCAGCCGCAGTCAGAAAAAGCCCTTAAGCTTCGGGCGACGTTGGGATTGGCATAGACCCTGGGGAGGTGCTAAGCCTCTAAGCTTACTAGAGCCTAAGCCTGAACCTGAGCCCCAAGTAAGCCCGTCTCCCTGGGTCGGCCGCCCACCGCCCCTATAAGGCCCGAGGCTTTACAGAGACTGTAGGTGTTGAAAGTGGCACCACAGCTAGGGCTGAGGATGCGTTAGGCTAGGCCTTAGGCTAAAGGCCACAGCGGTTCAGCGATGGATCATTGGATTGGACTGGACTGGTTTAGCCTCGTCAAGATCCCCCCTTTTCCCTCCACCGTCCTCCTCCATCCTCCCTCCCCCCCAAGGACCCCTCTTCTTCCCTTCTCCCTTCTCCCTTTCTCTTGTCTCTTCCCTTCTCCTCTAGATCCAGACCGGGCTCCCGCCAGCCTCGCCCCGCCCGCTCTCGATCCAGCGTGTTCAGCCGCTCCCCTTTAGGCTTCGACTTACTGCATCCAGCGTAGGGCTGGCACAGTCTTCGCTTTCAGACCGGACCCTCCCCAGATCTGGTCAAGTCGCAGCTCGCCTGTCCGCTAGCCTGCCGCGTGTCTTGGACTTTGTCACTTCCAAGTTGTTGTCGCTAAGCATGGCATAGCATGGCATGGCGATCGCTTAATTCCAGTACGCACGCAGTCTTCCTCCTATGGCCCCGCCTCCAGCTTCGAATTTGAGACGCCACCACGGCCTCGCCGTACATGCTGCTGCCGTCCCGAGAGTGCTCAGTCCAGAGTATCCGTACAGGCGCCGAACAAGAGCGGACGAGATTGCTATTATTATTTCCTCGTGCGACGAAGCGAGTGGCGCCACAGTGCTACCACTGTACAGACTAGACTTCAGAGTCCAGTCTTGCCCGCGGTGACAAATACGGTACATACAAGTACCGTCTACCCTCCTTCACGACCTGATTGTCCGTCAGCTATCGGCGCTACTAGTCTCCTGGTGCTAGTTACTGATTCCTCATAAGATACACACTCCAGGGCATGTCATGAGGCATGAGGCTATACCACACGCAGTACGGATACAAATGCCTGAAGAGCCAGCTCCTAGTGATGAATTGAATGGCATCAGTCCACAATACAAATACAACCAAAAAACAAAGCCACTGATCAGGTACAGGAATTTCCTAGGTAGGTGTATTGTCACTGTACTCTGTATCTTAGGGTAGTGTCTCGTCGTTGTTTGGGGCTGAATGTCGTTTCTCTTGAGGGATTCCATGTCAACTATATAGTATATCTATGTCTCTCCTCTGTCTGGATTCTGATGTCTGGTGCCATTCCATTCACCCTGCTGCACTCTCTATCTCGTGTCCTCAAATACTCCTTGCTGGATTCTATAGTATGCCCAGGTTCACGCTGACTTCTAGCCCACCACCGCCGGCTCATGTAACCGGCGCAGATCCACCTTCCCGATCTCCGTCAGGTAGTCGGTGATGGCATCCAGGTCATTGCTCTTGTCCAGGACGGATCTTCCTTCGCCCCAGAAACTCAGGAAACGGTTGTGTCGCTTGGCATCACCATCACCATCACCATCACCATCACCAGGGTCAGGACTAGCAGTGGCAGTGGCAGTGGTATCATGGTGACTCTGACTCCGGCTCCGCCTCCGGCTCCGACTCTGACTCTGACTCCCGCTCTGGCGATCACCCAACACCGAGCCGGTGAAATCCTCCAAGACGAAATCCTCCCACCTCGGCTCGGACAGAACCTCCAGCCTCCGCCTGGTGGAAGCGGGAAAGCCGATGACGTTCCTAGCCTTGCCGGGCTTGCCGCCCAGCTTGAAATAGGTGCGGCAGCCGCTATTGACGACCGAGTGTTCAAAGTAGCGGTCGACCACGAGGCTGAAGTCACGGGCGGCCTGGGCGGACGGGCGGATGGTCTTGTAGCCGTGATGCTGGGCCTTGCGAATGACGCGGGCAATGTACGTGGCGGAGATCTCGGCCTGGTAGGGGACAGAGCCGCCCACGGCGTTCCCCTGGGCCTGCAGGACGAAGAAGTAGTTGGGGGCGTCCGGGGCCATGATGCCCAGGTAGGTCTCCGGGTAGCCAATGCCGATCTCACTGTCGGGCCGCCAGATCTGGGCCAGGTCGTCGCCGGTCTCGACCTCGGTAGGAAACCGCGGGTAGAAGCCGTGCTGGAAGCCGGTGGCCAGGATGATGACGTCGACGTTGCGCACGTTGCCGTCGTCGGTCTGCAGGCCGGTCGGGGTGGCGCGCACGATGGGCTTGTCGACGAACTCGACCTTGGGCCCGGCCACGGCCTCGAGGTAGCCCGGCGCCGGCGTCAGTCGTTTACAGCCGGGTGCGTAGTCGGGCGTCAGCCGGGCCAGCCAGGCGGTGTCGCCCCGGAGACGCTGCAGCATCGTGGCCAGCAGGCTGGCGCGCAGCTTCTCGTTGTCCTCGCTGCCCAGCCGAGCCGACTGGTTGTTGACGGCCCCGTAGTGCTGCTTGTCCAGCCCCTTGCGGTACGCCAGGTAGGCGGCCGGGTCGGAGCGGAACCGCGCCTTCTCCTCGGCCGTGTAGACGTATCCGCCGGGGATGTCGGTCGAGGCCTCCAGCAGACCCTGGCGCAGCGTCGGGCTCACGTATGTCTTGGACCGCACATAGTGGTCGATATGCCCAACCCGCGACACAATGTTCGGCAGGATCTGCTGGCCCGATGCCCCGTTTCCAATCACCGCGACCCGCCGGCCGTCCAGCTCGACGCTGCCGTCCCGCGGCCATCTGGCCGTGTGGACCACCTGTCCCTGGAAGTCCTGCAGGCCTGCGATGTCCGGGTAGTGAGGCTGGTTGACTCTCCCGGGAGCGGAGATGAGAAAGTCGGCCCGGTCCGTGATCAAAGTGTCCGTGCTGAGATCCTTGACTTCCACCTCCCACTGCGCAGCCGACGCCACCCAGCGCGCCGACACCACTTCATGCCCCAGCCGCAGGTTCGCCTGCACCCCGTACTCGCCCACCACGCGCTCGTAGTACTGCTGGATCTCGCTGCCTTGCGAGTAATACTCGCTCCAGTCCGGGTTCGGCGCAAACGTCAGCTGGTATACGTGCGATGGGATGTCGCATCGTACTCCGGGATACCGGTTTTCCGCCCACGTCCCGCCCACCCGCTCGTTCTTGTCGTATACTGTGTATGTCAGGTTGTTGACTTTGTGCGAGAGCAGCACTGCCGTCGCAATCCCGCCGATTCCGGCTCCGATGATGATGGCTTTGACTGGCCTCTCGTTCTGGTTCTGGGTCTGGTGTGGCTGCGACGGCCCCGGCCCCGGTCCCAAGCCTTCTTCCTCTGCCACGTCTCCGGGACCGGGCGTGGTAATGGCACTGAACTGGTTGTCGGCGCTCGAATCCGATGCTGAGCTGTTGGTTGAGATCCCAGTCGGCGATGATGTTCCGGAGTTACGTTCTGTCTGATCCGGGTCCGCCATGGTGTTGAAGTGCAGGACTCAGCACTCAGCACTCAGGGTCGCAATAGGTTCGACGATGGTCGGTCACGTATTCACTCGGTTTTACGATGGTTGCTGGCTATTCACTCGGTTTAGAGGGAAAAAGACGCCAGACGACGACCGTCTAGGGGAAATGTGTGTATATGTATGTGTCTGTGTCTTTGTCTGTATTCGACGTGAGTATTCCCTCCGGTTGGCAATGGAAGGCGTCTTCGCCGCTAAAAGAACACCACGGCATACTGTATATGGCGTGCTCGACAAGTACTGTATGTGCAGTGCGGCGTATGTAGTTATCTAGATACTCGCTTTCCGAATGTCGGACTCGGCCTCGGGATCCATGGCATTATTGATAGACCAGATTGTCGGCGGCGGGGGTACAGTACATGCCAGTATAGTATGTAGTATGTAGTGTATATTAGTCGTCGAGGTACTGTGAGGCACCGTGAGGTACCGTGATGTGTTGTGATATGATGTGATAAATCACGGTCTCCAATGGCGTGATTTGAGGCCAGAGCGAAACGGATAGCGGCGGGGTAGAAAGAAGGAAGGACTGTCCTCCGTACTCTATACCCTGTACTAATGGTATGAGGTGTGTACTCAGTACTCATGGTATGAAGTGTGCTTGTCGAAGAGTAAGAGTGCTTGGTTAGGTATGTATCTTGTTTCGAAGAGTAAGCGTGCTTACTTGCCTATACCTATATCTATGCCTATACCTATATCTATGCCTATACCCATGTCAGCCCGAAGCAATGCCAGGCAAGGAGACTGGAGTCTTTTCACCGGTCCACATGTGGGTGCTGATATACTAGAGCATCATCATGGCCGTTCCGTATTGGTGTGGGACAGACACAGACAGTACACTCAAGGTATGCATGGCTTTATCAGACGACGTGTAAAGTGACTTGACCTTAGATTCCTTAGGCATTGATCTGGAGATACTTGATTCAAGACTAGATTCGAATTGCTACCACACTACCACTACCTCATTACCACACTTCATCACTACCTAACTAAGACCATCACTTGGTTGATAACCAGCGTCCTGAAAACATGTCGGTGTCAGCCACCTCCTTCCACATCAGCACAGTGTCCAGTGTCCAGCATCCAGTCCCCATCGTAGTGCTCAGTGGTGCCTTGGATCTCGACACTTTCATGCTGTTTCTTCCGTGACGCCTCCGGTGTCGTTGGACTCGTTGGACTCGTTAGGCTCGTCCGGCCCCTCTTCCCCCTCTCCGGCGCCCGGTCTGTTTGGTTTGTCGGGCGTGAAGACGGAGCCAAAACTGTCCAGCTGTTCCTTCTATTTATTCACTTTGACCGCCAAATAACCTATCTCAGTATCAGTTAGGCGTCTGTCGGCATGGTGGCCCTTTTTGCCCATGGCCTGCTCCTTTTGGTTGTTGAGAATCGGGTCGAGGAAAGTTGCCTTTAGGTCTTCGAATGCATTTGAAGATCATGTGAGGCGCCGACTGTGGGGGGTTGGCCTTCAATGTGGCGCTCTGGGGTGGAACCTGAACTCAAGTCAGAGTGTTGCCAGTCATGGACCCCGTACTGCTAAAGATATGTTGGGCTTACCCATTGGCCATCCTTCACGGGCATGTTGAATGATGTTTGATCACAGAGGCGAGAGATGGAAGATGTGTCAACTATTGCTTTCTTCTGATGGTCTTGTAGATGAAGAAGAATGATGATGGATTTCTGGCAGAGGGATTCACTCCGGTTCTTATAGACAAGAGAGGAACGTCAACTTCATGGGCTTGGAAGAGGGCATGTGCTTTGCGCCTCAGCATTTACCAGCAGAGTCTCGCGGATATCCAATGAGAGGACCATTTGCCACCAAGATGAATGATCGACATACCTGACTCTGCACATACAGTCGCTCAGCTCGCCACATCACGATGGCGCTGTAGCCGAGAGCGTAAACCTGCTCATGTCTGCCAGGAAATCACAGAGTGGCAGTCCAGGCCTGAGAAGATTTCCTGTACGAACACTCATTGCTCGTATTCGAGGGCCTCGACATGCATCAGCTGCAGAATCAATTCGGGAAACAGGAAGAGCTCTGACCTGGCAGTGCCTTCCTGCAAGCTTGGCTGTGATGATCACGCTCTTGGATCATCTGAATGGCAAGCTGGAGATGGGTTCATCTTGTTCAGTGGATGGTCACGCACTGCATGCTTCGTGAAGCTTTTCAGCTGTAGTTCACACATTGTGGCTTGAGACGAGTTCATCCTGTTTAGTGGAGGGTCAAGCACTGCAAGCTTGTGGTTCACACATTGTGGCTTGAGACGAGTTCATCTTGTTCAGTGCAGGGTCACGCACTGCATGCTTCGTGAAGCTTTCAGCTGCAGTTCACACAATGTGGCTTCATGTGCTGGAACACCTGGTTTGGCCCTCGAAGACCTCCAGTTCCACCTGCAAGAGATTCACCAACAGGGGATGGAAAGTCATGTCTATTCCCGCTCCTGTGGCGAGCTGATGAGCCTAGATTCTTCGAAAGGAACCACGGAAACCGGTAGTGGTCACAAGGTACTCAATTCCCAGGCCGATCAACCAGGCTACAGCGACAGTATTTCCATTGCCGTGAGCCATGAGCCATCGACCGTTGCGAAGCCAGAGCCAGTCAAATTTTGGGGTGTCGGCAAAGCTTACCGTCTTAGATTCTTATCCTGGTCAACGCTGTTGTCGTTCTGCCATGCTGTTGGTGTTGATGGGTGATATACAAGATACAAGGGACAAGGGACAAGGGACAAAGTATGGAGGAGGAGGTTTATGTTGGAGGTGTATGTAGTAGTCGGCAGTTGCTCCCCCGCTCCGCAATTGCAAGTCTGGACCACGGCTCGAACCTCTATCATGCATTGCACTGGGCCATTCAGCAACGTCTGATAATGCAACTGTTCGTTCTTGGTGCGAACAGAATAGATGGCTGGTACTCTTGGCTGGCTGATGGTTGGTTCCTCATGCGTGGCTGGCTGAGAACATAGAACTAGGACCAAGAACCAGAAGCAGAACCATGAACCCGTCACTCGAATGCAACGAGGTGTACCTTGTGATTGTGATGCATGCAGCTGGTCTGGTCTGTTGAGAATGGCTTTGGCTTTCTCATGTTGAGCTGAAAGCCTCTTCATCAAACCCATCCATACCACATACAACCATACAGACACAGACATACCACTTACAACCATCCAAGCTGACCCAAGCTGATCTGATGGAAAAGTCCAACCGAACCGAGCAATGTGTTGGCCCTGGCCCTGGCCCTGCTAGGGACGACATAGAAGAGATGCATCTTCTACAGTCAAGTCAGTATGGTCGATGGCGATGGCTAAGAGCAGTCTTGAGCCAGCAGAGATATATGCCGACGACCACCACCAACACCACCACCACCACTGTGCCCTTCAGCAATCACAATCACCTCACACCCATATCATACCTTCCTGCCAACACCATATGATATCTTCCCGCCAACACTAGACTCTGACCTCTAACCACTGGCCACTGTCAACCTCCAGACGATACCAAGGAATTCCATCAGAGCTGGACTTCAACCCAGCTCCTAGGTGCCCGCCAAATTTGAACGACAATGCCTGACGCCGAAAAGACCCCGGCCACGTCGCCAGTCAAGGGCGGCGGTGCCTTTCCCGATTCGTTCGACGAAAATGATCAATACTATATCCCTGATCCTCGTACCCCGGATCCCCCTCCTCCCAGTGTGGATTTGCGAAAAGATCATGCCGATTCCGTGACGCCGATCTACGACCAAGGCAGCACGCAGTCCTGCACCGCCAATGCTGCCGCCGCGGCCTTTTGGTACGAAGAAAAGGCCGGCCGACACGCCGCAGACTGGGGGGATACGGGCCCGTCACGACTCTTCATATACTGGCTTGCTCGTCGCGGCACCGACCCCAGCTTCGTGACTGCCGAAGACACAGGCTCCATCATGCGAGACGCGATACATGGTATTGCAAAATATGGAGCGTGTCCCGAACCCGACTGGCCATTCCCGGATTTCAAGGCCATCGATGCCCAAGTCCAGAGCGAGAAGCTTGATGATCACACCGCCATCAAAAAGAGGACAAAGCAACTCCGAGACGAAAACGTCAATCGCAGGCCAACCGACGTCGCTTTCAAGAATGCCGAGAACCACAAGATCACCACGTATCGCAGGCTGGATGCCGATCGTCCAACGGAGCAGGATCAGAGGCTGACCGTGGACGCGAAAGATCTGCTCGGCCAAGCTGTCCTCAGGAGGCTCAAGATGTGTCTCTCCGAAGGCTTTCCCGTCGCCTTTTCCTTCTGGTACTATCTGCCACCTAAGGACATGTATGACAAAACAGGCGACATGTTCGTGCTGAAGGATGTCTGGAACCATCCCAGAGCGCCGGAAAAAGGCCTAGGCCCCATAGCACGCCACACGCCGCCCGAAAAGCGAAACGGACACAGTGTGCTCGCCATCGGTTACGATGATGACAAGCAGCAAGTGCTGGTGCAGAATTCCTGGGGGCAGAAATGGGGGAAAGGCAAAGGCGTCTTTCTCATGCCTTATGCCTGGATCACCGACTTTGAAGCAACGAATGACTTTTGGACCATTCGCACTGCCGCTGGCCCAACGGCTCCAGGTTGGGAAGAGATCAACAAGTCCATCCTTGGAGATTTCTTTGGAAATCTATTTGGAGATGCCAAAGGTTGAGTGTGAAGGTTGAATGTGAAGGTTGAGTTGTCAAACTTAGGCATTCCCAGCCTTGTGCTTTAAGCAGAGGACTGGCCTAGGCACGCTTATATAGTCTGGGCTTGGGCTCTCCTCTTCCTCCTCATCAGTGCGGCTACAAGAACCGAAAGATATACACGTCTAGGCAGTTCAGTTCTCATGTTGACTGTCTAGTGCCCCCATGTCGACGATCAAGCTAAATTGTAACGTCGCTCAAATAGCCTTCCATCTCAAGTTCCAGCTATGTTCAACTGATCTTCAAGAGGATCGTGGCCCCTCCTCCCAGGATGTGGTAAACACCTTACATAACCATGCCACGTGTCAGACCATGTGACAATATCGTTCAAACCACCCTCACAACGCCGAACAGGAATAGAGCAGCCCGAACGCCCAAGCCTCAGAAGCACTGCCCGATGGTGATAAACGACTATCGTTTCGTCCAGAGAATCGACTCCCAGAACCCTTCCAAGCCAGAAACCAGATAAACCGAACCCGAAAATCGTTTACTTATCATCCAGTTGGTGCATGTTTCCTGCATCATGGCCCTCGCCAGACCAGGTATGGCTCCAATAAGTGATGGCATAACTCGGCCAGTGATCCGTGCCCAAGACCAGTTTGCATCTTTCGGCGTCGAAAGTCGTCTTGGTGGCCCAACACACTTCGCGGAATGCTTCTCCGTCTCTTTGCCACGAGTAGGGGAAGATGTAGTTGAAAGGAAGCACCTCGATGGAATGACCTAGACCTCGGCGAGGAGTGAACTGTTTGGCGGACGGGTTCTTAGCCACATGTTTGTCCAGCTTCTCTCCTTCGTACGGGCTGTCAAGGGCCATGTACTGGTTCACCATGTCGAACAATTGCACCGGGCCCGTAACCTGTTCTGGTGACTGGCCAGCACTCGATCCGTCGATAATGCCCTTGACCACCGACTCGATCACTAGGAGGAAAAACGGATGTCCGGGTGTCGACGCCATCCAAGCGTTGGGGATGGAGTTGGAGAACGAGGTGTCGGTTCCCATCCTGCCAAAGAACGCCTTACGGCCGCTCTTCTGCAGTTCATGCGTCGACACAGGTCTGGGCTTGGCATGCGAGACTGTAGACACGTTGAACTCCTTGAACAGATTGTCCGTAGGTCGTAGGCACTCGACGTCCAGGTCGGCATACACGCTGGATAACTAGTTAGCATCTTTGGAGCACGGCCTCCTGGAAAAATGAACCTTACCCTCCAAACATATACATGTATATATTTCGCACCAGGTCGGCCTTGTAAATGACCCCCGGGAGGTCTTGGTATGTCTGCAGCAGCCATGGGAAGTGCATCCTGACCAGCGCTTCGTTATCCTCATCCGTCCACAACACCCATTCCCAGTTGGGGTGCGCCGCCCGGCAACTCTCGCTCCAATGTTCGAATTTGGCGGGGAGCTGGGTCGAAGTCCAGCTCTGATGGAATATTCTTGGTATCGTCTGGAGGTCTTTGGATATCGGTCTGTCCATCAACTGGCGGGGGGTGAGGTATTTGGCCTTACGTGACGAACCGAAGGGTGTGGACGTCGGCGACACTGGAATAGAACCCTGCCCGGACATGTAGACCGTTATGATGGCCGCGACCGCCAGGAAGATCACCCATCGTACCGTCCTGCGCGAGCCATAGATTTGGTGCAGAGGGTTGATGTTTCGCGGCGAGGTGGGAGAGTCCATCGTTCAGATAAGTCAGTTGCAACGGGATGCGAATGGTGCCCGTCGCTAGGGAGGAAACTGGGTCAAATGAAGGAGAGACCGAGAAAAAGACGAAAGACGAAAAGAGCGACTGGAGAGGACAACATGAGATTGTGGAATACAGAGCGGTAGTAGACAGTGCGCAGTGCGCGGTGAGGATGTGTACGGATACTGTAAGGGCTAAGGGCGACAGCGACAGTGTCCAGTGTCCAATGTCCAGTGCCCAGTGCCCAGCGTCCACCCCACGCCGGGTTCTGGCAGGTGCGATTGTGAATCTGACATGCTTCAGGGGCTTGAGACAGCCGACAGAAATGGTGCAAACCAGCACCAAACGCACACGAAGCAGCAAGAATGTGTGGCTGATGCGAGGGTTAATCTCAAATTGAGAGACGGACCTCTTCAGGTCCAATATAGACCCGATCGTTGCAGTTCCCACTGCCTCTCTATCCAATCACTCGCGGGCAGCGGGCAGCTGGTTGGTCCGCGAGGGTCGTTGTGGGTAGTACGATACATCTGTTAATTAATATCTGGCGAAGATACGGATACAGCGTGCTCCGTATTTTACAGAGTAGACTCGGTAGAGGGCTTAAGGGGGGTAGAGGGTCCTCCTGGCCAGCCACTCGGGCATCGTTCATCGTTCATGGTTCATCCCTGACTATGGCGTGGTTTACCATCTAACCGCAAAGGATGGAAAGGGGCGCTCAAGCCCTCGAGGGATCTGATCTCTGATCTCGAATTCAGGGGTAAATGGGAATGCCCGAGGCGGAGACGCGCGGCGCGGTATCGACATTTCCTATCGATAAGCCTGCGACGCGTCAAGTTCAAATGAATTGATTGGCTTGCTTGGCACAGACGCGTTGCCAAAATATCCAAATCGTCCGTCTCTATATTGCCGGTGCCACCAAAGGAGACACACTTACAGAGGAGAACGAATAGCGTAGCGTACTGAGGGAAGTCGTCTCGTCTAATGCAAATAGATCTTTTTGTCTCTATGCCTCTACGGAGTACTATTCACGCCAACCCACATATATCAGATATCTCGAAATGCTCCCCTTTCCTGGCGTGCTCCTTTCCCAAAGGACACCGTCCATTCGTTAGGACATACTACATCATAAAAAAGGGCCGGACGCTTGAGTCCTGGTAGTGAGCTGGTTATATGCCGAGCGCAACGTGTCGACCGTGGCTAAGGGTCTTTTTTGCTCGAATCCGACGGGAACGTGCCTGATCCGTCCCGATGGGTGCCACCATCCTCTGTTTCGGCCTCAACTCTCCTTGGATAGGTCAGATGGAATCTGACGCTAAACAGCGTGTCCAGAGGATGAGATTCGTCGGCGTGTCGACTGACTGGTCGGCTTGGGTGGGCGACTGGAAACGCCTGGACATGGAGCTTTCTCTATTCGATGTCTTCTGCAAGCCGCAGTGCACAGAGTCATTCCCGTCCGCACCTCCGTGTTGAGATGGGGCATCTGTGGCCAAAATTGTAGGCTATTTTGTATTAATAGTGACAAGTTCAGGAACGCTCACTCGGATGGTGGTTCTGGCTCAGGCTCGGGCTCAGGTTCGGATTTGGGCTCGGGTTCGAGCTCAAGAACTTCGATATGGCCCACAGCTTTACCAATGTCTTTGATATCCAGTTGCGCCGGAGTCACATCCGGATATTGACTGTCAAACACGGTCTTCCCTGCAAGCAGATTGCCCATGTTGAGCCGAGTCGAATAGACCAGATGTGGAGCATTGGCCGGCTCCACGCCTCTATCCTCTCCGTAACCAATATCACTCCATTTACTAGTATTTGATGTAGGCCGAGATACACCGACAATCTGGGGAAACACCGAAACACAGGTAAAGTTGTATGCGCTGTCTTTGCAGAGATTGGAAAATCCCCAGTCGATCGGGCTGTTGTATGGCTCCATACTCATATGATAGAGTGCTTTCCGAGCGCCTTGTTGGGATATGGCGTAGGACGCGGTACAAACTCCTCCTTCAGAGTTGAAGACGATCCTGGTTCGATTGTCGCCATTCGGACCCTGTTCCCAGTGCGACATGTCGGGCACATCCACATTCTTCCGGTATTCGGGTGGTTCGACGGTGGGATCGTCGGGAATAACGAAAAACCGACGATTGTCCTCCGGGTGTACCCAAGTTCCACAGTGGCCGAGCCAGAGTAGATCCCAGTCATCGCCGTAAGGAGAGAAGGGTGATTTGTGCGCCGGAGTCTTCAAAATGTACCTCGAACCTCGTGCGAACTGGACCAACTGCTTTTTGAAAGAGACATCCCAATCTGCGTCATCCTCGAAAATCAAAGCCGTCGAGACCTTTTCGCGCACGATTCTTTGAATCACGTCGAGGTGAGCACGCCAACAGCCAATGGCATTGGCATTCTGGTCCATGGTCTGGTGGCGGTGGTTAGCAGTGCGACCTGTCGGATGGTTTCCACCGGGCAACGTACATGGGGTAGCGCCTTTTCCGGGACCAGCTTGCCATCCACTCCATCCATCTGGGTGTAGGAGATGCCTGAAAAGGCAGCCTGCATAGCAAAAGCGTCTCTTTTGTCTGTGCGCGCAGGCAAGGAAATCATGTATACCTCTTGAAACCCTAGGGTTTCATTCTGCACTCGGTATAAAGACGGGTCCTCGAGGATTGTGGTTGCGGCGGGTCTGGACGGTGAAGGAAGGGGGTCTGGAGCGAAAGTGCCTTGTTCTGGGAGATCCAAGACATTCTGTTCCTGGGAAGTTGGGGGGCGGAAGGAGGCGTAGAAGAGGACGGTGGTCACAAGGAGACCGACTAGGACATAGCTGAGGCGGGCAGGCAAAACGGGCAGCATTTTCTCTCATGCCGGTGACGGAGAAGGAAGATCGGAGACGGTAGGAATGGGGTGGAGGGGACGGCCTGAGGCCGAATTGCGATTGCGGCAACAAAGAACCAGGGATTCCAAGTCACCGAACCCAGTAGAAGAACCGTGGAACTCGAGCCATCATGAGAGAGGAACGATGGACAGTATAAAGACCAAGACCAAAAACGCCCTCTCTGATTTGAGCGACTGGAAAATCAAAAATAGCGGCGAGGTGTGAGCAGAGGTGGTGGTGGTGGCGTCGAGAGAGATGAGCTCATTTGCTCGCAAGGGCCCAGGTGGTGCGAGGTGCTTGACCCGAAAAAGTGGAATTTGGGTTGTGGCGCAAGGAGATATCAATAGGTAGTAGGTACGGATACTCTCAGCTCTGTACCTACTACCTAGCACTAGTAGTAGCGTGGGTGCGACTGGTGGGAAATTCCACTGCCAGCTGCCACAGAATAATCACCGTTATCATTCAAGGTCCTCCCACTCCATATACATATGCAAGGGACCTGGCTGTCTTGCCCTGGTCCCTCCTTGCCATCTGACTTCAATCTCGCGATCGCATCTGGTATCACGCCCTAAAAGGGAGCGAAGGGGCACAAGCGAGAGGGTGAAAATTCAATGTCGGGCAGGATGTATGTATCATGTCTCACAGATCACTGTTCCACGAGGCGACCGTGGAGTCTTCGGTACCACCACCACGACTCTTCCTTGCTGTAGGTAGGTAGGTGGCTGTTTTCAGCTACGCGTCACGTGATCTTCCTTTGAATAGTCGGCTCGTCTAGACATCTTTTCATTGTTGGCAGTGGTCCTGGTTACTTTACCGCCTGGCGAGGTTGGGTGCAAAGGTTGACAGTTCCAAGTTAGGTAGTGCTAGCGGCCACCGCGTGAGAGGATTACGTGCCATCATGTGCGCTAAGCATACAGAATATGAGGCTTACAAGAGACAAGAGAATCGCCAACCGCCTCAAGTTCGGCCGGAAGTCCTCAGGCTGCGACTAGGACTGCGGTAAAAAGCTTGCATGGTCACTACTACGTGCTTAAACTCCTCAGGCCTGGATGCTGGGAGTGGATCGAGGACTAAGGGGCCGTCTAAGCTGAAGCAGGCTCTAGGCTCTTCACCAAGCAGGGTTACCCCTTCTAAGCTTGGTTTAACTGGATGGGTCCCTGGAACAGGCTTACTAAGATACCCCTAGGCTTCCCAGCCGCCCAAGCTTCCCGCAGCCAAGCAAATCTAGGCACTCGGAGAATTTGAACCGTCCAAAAGCTAAGCTGGATTCCAGCGAAGTGGACGCCTACAGGCCTATAGTACCTAATGGCTAAAGAGGCCCATTAATAATTGGCCCCCGTGTTTCAGCTGGATTTCCATCTCCTGGCTTCAACGCCTCAAGGAGCCGTCTTCCTTCGCCCATGGTCAAAGTCTTGACCCGTTCGGCCCATGGGGTTGCCTCTCATCCATTTCCACTGGCTTCGGTTCACAAACCAGGAGTCTTTGGCCCCCTCTAGATGCACTTCTCAGGAGATGCTGGTCTTCTCTAGGAATCTTGACCAGCACTCCCAAGTCCTCGATGAATGACGGGAGATGACTCTTCGCCTCACTACAAATTGTCGTTGAAGTGCATTGTTCTCTGCTGCTCGCTACTTCTGTTCTCTACGTCTTTGCCTCAGCAAGTTTCCATCCACTGCGTTGACTGTTTTCCTGTGGCCGTCTCCTTCTCATCTGGTGTTGACCACTTGTTATTGTGCTCTGTGCTTGGTGCTCGGCACTCTACTAATTGATACCCTTGACGGGCTGACCTCAGTGCCTTTGGAGACGAACCTACCACATTCCTCTGTACCCAAATCCCTCGAGATGGAACAGAACAAGGACCTCAAGTTGACCGTCACCGACTTTGCCTCTTCTAATGGCTCCCAACCGAACGAACTGCCTTCTCCAGGCCGAAACACTCATTTCACACCCATCGCCCTTCGAGCTCCAACCCGCACCTCCATGGACCTCGACGACTATTTCGTGGGTCCTCTAGACATAAACCACCACTCGAAATGGCCTTACTTCCTTCGTCTGCACGGCAGCGTGTTGCCCAAGATGGTCCTACCACTTGCTTTCGTTGCAGCTTGGGCCACAGCAATCACTTGCATATCTAAATTCGTCCATGACCTGGGCATCAACTCGGTTCTGCTCACCATCACTGGTTTCGTTGTCGGCCTGGCTCTGTCATTCCGCTCCTCCACCGCCTATGAAAGATACAGCGAAGGAAGAAAATACTGGGCACAGTTGGTGGTGACGTCGCGGAACCTGGCCCGCCTGATCTGGGTTCACACCATAGAACGACACGATATCAGCGAAGAGCAGGGAAAGGCCGATCTACTGGGCAAACTCACCGCATTGAATCTGGTCAACGCCTTCGCCGTGGCACTCAAGCATCGTCTCCGGTTTGAGCCGTCGACCCAGTATCCTGATCTGCAACCGTTGATTGGACATCTCCGAACCTTGGCTGGCGAGGCCGACCAGACACAATTCGAACCCAGGAAGCATACACCATGGAAAGCTGCAGGCGAATATCTAGGTATCCCGTTTGCCCAGTCTAACCCGCGAAAATTGGTGAAACGCTCACGGGATAACCTCGGTAACCTCCCCCTCGAGATCCTCACCTATTTGTCGGCGTACATGGACGAGGTCATGGGCAACGGTCAGCTCAAAACGCCGGTCCATCAAACCCACGTCATGAACAATATCACGACTCTAGCCGAAGTTCTCACCGGTACCGAACGTGTACTCAACACTCCTGTTCCAATCGCCTACTCGATTTCCATTTCGCAGATCACGTGGGTGTATATCCTCGTCCTGCCATTTCAGCTGTACAAGTCACTGGGGTGGGTGTCGATATTTGGCACCGTCCTTGCGGCGTACATCATTCTGGGACTGGCAGCCATAGGCTACGAGATTGAAAACCCGTTTGGCAACGATGTGAACGACCTGCCGCTGGACAACTATTGTCGCGAACTAGCCAGTGACATTGACACCCTGACCAGCATGCCGGCCCCAACGGCCGAGACGTTTATCTCCATGGCGGAGAACAAGGTTCTGTTCCCATTGAGCATGAGCGACTACCACAGTTGGAAGACGCGGTCCGTGGCAGACATCAGGAGTGCCTTGCGGGCCAAAGCGACCACTGCAGCGACATCTGTTGACTTTCAGCGTGTAAAGGCACAGTCAGAGAGTACCGAGCAGAGTGGCAAGGTTGGACGTGTGAGTGAGAACAAACATGTGTCAGAAGTAGTAGAAGCGGTTTGAGTGGCATTTGACTGTGCTGGATTTGAACTGTGTTGGCATTTGAACTGTACAGGAACATTTGAACTGTACAGGAACATTTGAACTGTACAGGAACATTTGAACTGTACAGGAACATTTGAACTGT